GGGATTGAAGCTCCCGATAGATGAGAATTTCGAAGACTAACTGTGACCTAGATGAAACCGTCGTCAACGGCGCCCAAATCTTTTACACGAGACAGTTTGGCATCAGTGGAAACAGTTCGCGATCGTCATGGCTCACGGGTCTTGTCAACTCGGCGCCGTATCTCTGCTGCGCTTTTATTGGTTGCTGGCTCACTGTACCGTACAATCACTGGTTTGGCCGTCGCGGAACCATCTTTATTACTTGTACCTTCTCCGCCCTGGCCTGTTTCTGGCAAGGCTTTACCAACACCTGGTGGCACATGTTCATCGCTCGTTTCTCTCTCGGCTTAGGTATCGGCCCCAAGTCCGCCACGGTGCCCATCTATGCTGCCGAGTGTACTCCGCCCGCTATTCGTGGTGCCCTGGTCATGCAATGGCAAATGTGGACCGCCTTTGGAATCATGTTTGGTTATGTCGCGGATCTTGTCTTTTTCCACGTGCCAGATAAGCCCAATATCACTGGTCTGCGTTGGCGTTTAATGATGGCTTCAGCCATGCTCCCGGCTGTGATTGTGCTCTTGTTTGTGTTTTTGTGCCCGGAATCTCCACGTTGGTACATGAGCAGGGGTCGTCACGGAAAAGCGTATTCGTCCATGTGCCGGCTGCGGTATAACAAGATTCAGGCTGCCCGCGACGTGTTCTATATGCACACTTTGCTCGAAGCCGAATCCGGTATGAAATTGGGCCAAAGCAAGATTATGGAAATGATTACTGTGCCGCGAAACCGCCGGGCCATGGTGGGTTCTGAGATTGTCATGTTTATGCAGCAGGTAGGTTCTCATCCGTCTGCTTTACTTTCTCCTCTTTCGTATAATTTATGCATGATATCTCTATGCGTTAGACTAACACTTGCATCTCTAGTTCTGTGGTGTCAATGTCATCGCGTACTATTCTTCGCAGATCTTCTTGGACTCTGGTCTATCCGAGATCTCTGCTTTATCGGCGTCTCTTGGGTTTGGTATTATTAATTGGCTCTTTGCGATTCCCGCCGTTTATACCATTGACACCTTTGGCCGTCGCAATCTGCTGCTCACGACCTTCCCGCTCATGGGTCTGTTCTTGCTGTTCACCGGTTTCAGTTTCTGGATTCCGCTGGCCACCAAACGAACCGCGCATGTCGCCTGTATCGCCTTGGGAATCTACCTGTTTGGCATCGTCTACTCGCCAGGTGAAGGTCCTGTCCCATTTACCTACTCCGCCGAAGCATATCCACTATACGTGCGTTCGTACGGAATGAGTTTAGGTATGTCGTTTTCTTTTCCTACCACAACAACTCCAGCTTCTCTAATAATATTCATTTAGCAACCGCAACCACATGGTTCTTCAATTTCGTTCTTTCCATCACGTGGCCCTCGCTTCTCCGAGCATTCAAGCCCCAAGGTGCCTTTGGATGGTACGCCGCATGGAACGGCATTGGATTCTTCCTTGTCCTCCTCTTCTTGCCTGAGACAAAGAACAAGACGCTTGAAGAACTCGATCAGGTCTTTTCAGTCCCCACCCACGTCCATGCAGCCTATGGTCTACGCCAAATTCCGTACTTCTTCCGACGCTACATTCTTCGCCAGCATGTCGAGCCCGAAATCCTGTACCAGCGCGAGGAAATCGATTACTCGGACCAAAGCTATAGTCAGGAGACGGAACACGAGGCGGACAAGAGAGTATGAGCCTCCAAAGTGGGTTGAACATCTGTTGGACTTTCCTATACAACGCCCACACTTCTTCAAAATAGGTCACTTGTTCCCAGAAGAAGGGCGCCAGTGACATTTTTATATTTCTCTTGTAATAACAGGAGGGTGATTCATTTATATTGTTAAACTTGTCGGCTTGAAAAAACCGGGTTAGACAAGAAAGTACTCGACAGAGGACGTCTTTTAAATACACGCGGTCAATGTGCACGCTAATTTTTTGGTTGTTTTGGTTTCGGTTTCGTTATTACTTGGTCTGGTTGTTTCGGTTTCCTTACCGCGGTTAATCTTGGTTAGGCCTTTGGTTGATATCCCGGTCCTCTACACAAGGGCAAGTCTCTCTTTTTTTTTTTTTTTTTTTTTGTCGTGCTTCAATTTAGTATTTATTTATTGATGCCAAATATCTTGTTAAATACCTCTTGAGAATGAATTAAATCATCCTGCCACGCGACGTTTTAGTTTCCCTTAATATCATTTGCTATTTCTTTGTATCGATTCTTGGATCTCTTTTTGACGGATTTTATCTGGCATCTCCAGATCCCGAAAGTGGAAACACGTGACGCTGCTCAGCAACTGAAAATTCTCCGTCCGAAAGGATTTCTGGTGTACAATTCCCTTCTGCAAAATGATATACAGTACTGACGGATTAATTTATTCTGTTTGGACTTTGGCGATCACGTTTCGGGGCACTGCTATGTTGTATATATTGAGAGCGGGCTACTCGCGACTGGTGACATTTTTTTTTTTTGGTATAGCTGACAGGTCATTATATACGCAATTTCTTGCACAGTGTAATTGGGCGTTGGCCAGCATTTGCCAGCCCCTGTACGGAGGTACTCTGTATGAAGCTACTCTGTACGTACTTCGTACTCCGTACAGCAATTGGCCCCCAACGTGGCTCGGTGCATAATGCATCCGCGCCACACAGACACACACAGATGCCTTCTCTGTCCAATTACCATCAGATATCCATGTCCGTTGGTCTCTGGGGCCTGGTATCCTGGCATCCTGGCATCCCGGCCATCCAGGCAACCTAGGCAGTCTGTTAGCCTGGCAGCCTGGAGGGGTGCAGCCTGAAAAGCCGCGCTGCACGGAGACGGTTGGAAGACTTCAGGAGGATAATTGTCCCGCCGCTGTCAGCTGATAATAAGTTAATGATAGTACTTGAACATTCCGTATGGAGTATCTTGCGAAAAATAACTTGGCTCTCTGGACGAACAACAAAGGTACCGACTTACGATCGCTAGCAGTGTTTTTATGGATGTTTAATTGGTGAACCGCGAGGGGCAACCGGGGCTGTACGCCAATCGATGCGGTGATTCTCAGAGGAGAATCGTCGAAAGGAAGAGGAACGATATATGGGGATCGAGGTTCTTTTTTTTTTTTTTGTTGAAAATCGGGTTTGACTTTCATTACGGGCTTCTTGGAAGAAATTATCAAAACGACCAAAGTAGCCTGGCTCAAAACACCCCAATCCCAATATTAGAGGGCTGTGCATCGCATCGATCAATCCGGGAAGATTTCAGACACAAAGTTTCAGTGCAAGCAATATCCATCAGCTTTGGATATTGCTTTTCCAAGTTTTCGAAACAAGACCCAGGATTCAGCGTCTTAGCACAACACGGCTCACATATATGGTATAGATCTACCAAATAAGCGGCACAAGCGCATACCCGGGCCAGGGAATTATAGGAATCTACAATTTCCTCATTGGATCAGGATACGAAGGCTTCCTCTACCCATTGGCGAGACAACAGCATCATGAACAACAACATTCCTTTCCGAGGCGATCCTTCTCCTTCAAGGATTTCCAGTACTACTACATCCAATACATATCATAAAGTTCCCGAGACACTTGGAGCACATAGATCTGCTAGAGAGCCTCTGCCATCAACGGACCAGGACCAGGACCAGATATATGAGATCGATAGTGTTCCTTTACCGGCAGACGACCAACGAATTGTTGTTGGCGTGGATTTCGGGACAACTTATTCTGGGTATGTGATTTTTGACAGTAGAGTCAAAACATGACATCCCAATTCCTGTCGTCTCTTGTCAAAGCAATCGTCTTCCTTTGCTTTTGAAACTCGTTCCGCAGCGCAGGATGTGAAGATGAAGGCTTGCTGACGATGAGATAAAGGGTAGCGTTTGTCTATTCTGCCGCACCGGACATTATTGATGTGATCAAATCGTAAGTACCTTATGCGTTGTCTTTTTGGGATTAGAGATCTTGATAACGAGATCTGACGATGCATAGATGGCCTGGTGGCAATGGCATAACGTCCGATAAAGTCCCTTCAGAGATTGCATACCTATCATCCAAGACATCTCTGCAACAAAAAGTACAATGGGGTTTCCAATTCAAGCCTGAAGAGTCCCGACTCCGATGCATCAAGTTATTCCTTGACCGTAACCAGCCACTTCCTTACTTTGTCTCTGCAAAGGAGGCTGCGGCTCAGCTCCGCCAATATGGCCGCAATATAATGGACGCTGTGTCGGACTATCTCACGCAAATCTACAAGCACACCATGGATACTCTAGCCCGCCGCTACGGCAAATCGTTCATATCCATGACCAATGTCGAGTTTGTTCTCACCGTTCCAGCTGTCTGGTCGGACGCCGCCAAAGACGCAACGCTGAAAGCGGCCGAGCGAGCAGGCATGGGCGACAGCCATAATCTCAAATTAATCAGCGAGCCCGAGGCCGCAGCCGTGTATACTCTTAAATCGATGCCATATAGTCACCTCCGCATCGGGGACAATTTTGTCGTCTGCGACGCTGGCGGCGGGACGGTCGATTTGATATCGTATAAGATTACGGGTGTCTCGCCAATGACACTGGAAGAAACAGCCGTAGGAACAGGTGGGCTGTGCGGGTCAACATTCTTGAACTTTCGATTCGAGAACCATGTTCGAGCTAGGCTCGGTGAAAAGAGATACAAATACATGCGGGAAAAGCAACCAAAGACTTGGCAAATGGGACTAAATTATTTTGAAGAATATGTCAAGCGAAACTTCAACCAGGACGAGCATCAAGAGGTCCATGTACCGTTCCCAGGACTCTCTGACGATGAAGATGCAGGTCTTGAGAGCGGGTTTCTCATCCTCACCACGGCACAGGTCAAGGCAATCTTTGAGCCAGTTGTGGAAGAAGTTTGTAAACTGGTTGAGGGGCAAGTAGAGGGGATCCGGGAAAAAGGAGAGTCCGTGCAGTGGATTATTCTCGTTGGTGGATTTGGACAGTCAAAGTACTTGTATGATTACCTCAAAGCTCATTTCAATTCCGCCGCACCGCCACCGTATACGGAACGACCGACTCACGCGCCTCAACATCCTGATGCAGTGGAAGTATTGCAACCAATGAATGCCTGGACGGCGGTCGTTCGGGGTGCAGTGCTAAGAGGCTTGGAGGGAAGTCCGGTGGTGAGCCGTCGCAGTCGATGGCATTATGGCACGAGTTACGCCACAGTGTATAGTGAGGAAAAGCATTCCCTGAGTGATCGGTATTGGAGTCCGTTGTGGGAGAGGTGGATGGTGGGAGACCGGATGCAGTGGCATATAGCAAAGGTATTATCGTCCCAATTCGTCCGAGGTCAAATCCACAATCATATCTAAATAACGCCAATTTTGGTTGTCTAGGGCACTCCGATCTCAGAACACGCTCCGCTCTCCTTCCACTACACACGCAATTTTCGACCCGGTCAATCTCGCGTCGTCAGCGATAAGCTGATTGCCTGTGCTGACGAGGTTCCGCCTGATGTCTTTCGTCGAAGCAGCAGAAGCGTCAGCCGAGCCAACAGTCATGCTTCAAGAGGACACCAGAGACAGAGCGGAAGCGTAGGAGGACTAAGCAGCTACAATCATGTTGGCCCGAGCATCAATCGCAGTCACAGCAGCAGCAGCGTTTATAAGCCTCCAAGCAAAAGTAGACAGATTAGTCACGATCCGGGGATATTCAGAAACACCAGCGTTCGAAGTCTTGACAGCGTTGCCAGCGCGCCAGTAATCCCTAACAACAATAGGTTTAACAGCGCGGACAATAACATTAACAGATTCGGCAATGCCAATGCCGGAGATAGCGGGATTGGTGAAAGTGAGAGTCCCGCACTTTCCGCCGCCACAGGAACTAGCAATGAGAGTGGTAGTGGCAATAGTGCCAACACAGGAAAGATGATCAACGTGTGTACACTGACCACCGATCTGGCTGCAGTTCCACCTACATTGTTTACACGCTTGACCACATCCAAGGGTCTGGAGTTTGACAGTTTGGATTTCTCGCTGGACATGAGTATACAGAGCGCAGGACTAGTGTTTCAGTTGAAGGTCGACGGCGTAGCGTATGGAACCGTGACGACCGAGTTTTACTAGCCAGAGAATTTCATTTTTTATAACCGTCATGAGTCCTGCTCAGGCTCTCTGAAGCCCACCACGCAACTGTATGGATTGTGGTTCAACTGATCAGGAGATGGGGCAAAGCGCGGAAGGTCATGTCCAGCCCTGGATTTCGGATACAACACCAAGAGCGGAGACCATCTACACCTTGGATAGTTGATTGACTTTTCTACAGTAAATGCATAATAATTTATGGAAATGCAAGGATATACTAATATAGCATGATATTTATGACAAAGAAGCTCAAGAAAGGTAGACAGAGATTACCCCTGAACCCATGACTGAGATGACTAAGCAAACACACGCCACCCCGCGGTAGCTCCGTTCTCGGCCTCGCTTAAGTGCCCCGCCAATGATGACGAGCGCGAGGGACAAAAAGTGCTGGAGGGGCATTATTGGCTGAGACTTTATGGGACAGAGTTGAGTCACTTTGTGAGCGTGAAAATCGGTCCTGGAGGACAGAGACCATCCCTAGACCTTCTTCAGTGCATAACTGGACCCCAATTCGCTCACACATCATTCTACAATGGCCTCGGACAACGGTGACATTTTAGCTGACCTGCCAACAAGAGCGCCCGGCTCGTCCAAGGGCTGGATTGTGCAAAAGTTTGGAGGTACCAGTGTTGGTAAATTCGCCGTAAACATCGTCGAGAATATAGTACGGTGCGCCAAACCCCCTCATTGCCCTTCCATTGCAAATAAGAAGAGTCTGTGGCTGATGTCATGTTGAATGTAGGGCCAGCGCCAAGAACAATCGAGTCGCTGTGATATGCTCTGCCCGGAGCAGTTATACCAAAGCTGAGGGTACTACGAATCGGTAGGTGTTGAGTCACTTTATACGACTTTTTCCATGGCATGAAAACATGGGGTTGAACGGAACTTTTATAAAAACAGATTATTACGAGCTGCAAGGGAAGCAGAAAAAGAAGAAGACCCGCAGTTCGAAGCCATTGTCAATATAATAGCAGAGGACCATATTCAAGCCGCCAAAGCCGACATCAAATCGCCGGAAATTCTCGCACGGCTAGTGGAAGAAATCAAGTGGGAGTGTAACGATCTTGTGTCGTTCTTGGATGCCACGCGGCGAGTGGGTGAAGTCAGCAGGAGATCCGAGGATAAAATCATCAGCAAAGGCGAGAAATTGAGCTGCCGCTATGTCGCTGCGCTGCTTCAAGATCGAGGAGTGGACTCGCAATACGTGGATCTTTCCGACGTGATCGATTTCAGAATCCCACAGGGACTTGACCAGGAATTCTACAACCAACTGGCGGCAGCGCTTGCCGCAAAGATTCGTGCATGTGGGGATAAACTCCCTGTGGTCACGGGCTATTTTGGCACGGTACCTGGAGGCTTGCTCGACAAGATTGGGCGTGGCTACACTGATCTCTGCGCCGCACTTGTCGCTGTCGGTATTGCCGCGGACGAGCTTCAAGTGTGGAAGGAAGTCGATGGCATTTTCACTGCGGATCCCAGAAAAGTGCTGTCAGCGCGCTTGCTCTCCGCCATTACTCCTGCCGAAGCGGCTGAATTGACGTTTTACGGCTCCGAGGTCATTCATCCATTCACCATGGAACAAGTCATTCTCGCCCGGATCCCCATCCGCATCAAGAACGTCATGAACCCGCAGGGCAAGGGAACTATTATCTACCCCGACACCCCAGAAGACTTTGACCTGGCCGTGCCGCCCCCTGACGCTAAACTTTCTCGACGGCGGCGACGATCAAGCGTACTCTCCCAACCTAGTGGACCCAAGCGGCCGACGGCAGTGACGCTCAAGGACCGCATCATTGTGCTCAACGTGCATTCCAACAAGCGCTCCCTCTCGCACGGCTTCTTCGCCAAGATCTTCACCGTCCTGGACAAGTGGGAACTCTCTGTCGACCTCATCTCCACCAGCGAAGTCCACGTCTCCATGGCGCTGCACTCGGAGTCTGTGCTGCCCCGCGCCGGAGAGGAAATCGATTTTAAGATTCACGATCGCAACCTTTTCGGGGCCATTGGCGAGCTGCAGAATTATGGTACTGTCGATGTCATCCCTGACATGGCCATCCTGAGCCTGGTCGGCAGACACATGAAGAATCTGATGGGCATTGCCGGCAGAATGTTTGTCACCCTCGGCGAAGGCAATATCAATATCGATCTCATTTCTCAGGGTACGTCTCACCTTTTCTTTTCTTCTCTTTTTTTTTTTTTACTTTTTTTTTTTTTTCGTTTCCCTTCCGTTTTAATTCAATCATCCCGACAACCAACTAACTCATATCTTTACTTATAGGCGCAAGCGAAATCAACATTTCGTGTGTCATCAAGGCAGCCGACGGCGACAAAGCCCTGAATCTCCTCCACTCACATCTCTTCAACTTTGCGGATTAAAGTCATGTCATGTCATGTCATGTCATGTCAAGTTCAAAAGTCAAAATCAAAAGTTTTAGATCTCATCCATCGATTAGTACCGAGGTACTTGGCTATACGCACCTCATGTCATTTACTACATTTCCTTACTCTGGCCATTCCATGTCTTGAATGTCGATATCTCCTTTGTCTCTTATGCGGGCACAAAAAAATTGGCGCATAGGTAGCGGGTTTAGTTGTATCTTGGCTTATCTTTTATTTTATTATAGCTTATCATATATTTCATATTTGCTTGTCATCTGTTCATCTTAGCTGGTCTTTTTTTTTTTTTTTTTTTTTTATCTTTTGGTTTGGCTTTTCTAATATTTCATATCATTATTCAATTAACTTTTGAACATAATAAATTTTACTTGGAAGGCACTCTATCGATCGATTTTATTGACTCGTACGCAGGTGCTGTATTTTTTTTTCATCTAGGCTTGTCTGAGTCATTTAGATTACCTTACCTTTTTCTTGGAATATTTCCTACTTTTTTCAGATAAAATAAGAGTCATTACATTTTACTTTCTATTTCATTGTCAAGAATTCAAGGCTTGTTTTACACTATAGTCAAGACTCAAGACTTGTCAACTCGTTATGGTTGCTACAGTCTACCAGTCAATTCTTGACATTTGTTGAGTTGTTAAATAGTTAAATTGTTATAGTTTCTACTAGTACAGTCTCGTAATGTCTATTACATCTACAAATTAGTTATACTTAAAACATAAAAGGTCAAAAGTCTTGGATCTTACAGTCTTACTCCCATTCATCATTCATGCTCCAAGGACCGAGGCTCAAGCCTCTACCTCAAGGTGGAGTTGTGGACATTAAATCGGTCATGAACTCACGGAATCACGGTATCATGGACTCACGGTATCATGGACTCATGGACTCATGGATAATCCGCATCCAGCGTCCAGGCTTCAGGCTCCAGGACAATAAAAAAACTTAATGTCATAGATGAAGGATGAGAGAGACGAAGGAGACGAAGGAGAAGCAAAAGAAGCCAGTCGTAGAGTACCGGATCCAGAACATTGGACAAAAGGTAAAACAAAATACAGACAAATTTAAGAATAAGAATACATTTCTTTTCTTTTCTTTGGATCTTCCTCTCTCTCTTTTTTCCTAAACAGAAAGAAAAAGAAACAAAGAATGCGAGAGACACAAATAATTGATAAATATGAAAATATCAAATACATTTCTTTTCTTAGTATCATTAGTATCTTTAGTCCTTTACTAAACTAAACTACTTGTAACTTGTAAGTTGTAACCCAAAATACAAAGCGCAACCATACGTGCCGTTCTTCAACGCCCGTCGTTTTAAACGCCCCGATGTGTGATGTGATGTAAAACAGTAAAAGTATAGAAAAGATTTTAAACCATTGGTTGTAACATGTACATGTGTGGGATGGGAAGGGAAGGGAAGATATGGGGCCGGAAGGGAAAGGAGTAGGACTGTAGGAAAATGGGAAAGCCCGGGAAAAAGAAGAGGCTTGGAAGGTGGAAGAGGAGAAGAGGGGGAAAAGGATAAGACGAGGTAACGTAAAAAAAAGATAAGATGTGAAAGAAGAAAAAAAGGATAAGATGTGAAAAAGGAAACAAAATGGAGAAGATGCGAAAGAGGAAAAAAAGATAAGACATGGTAAAGTAAAAAAGAGTAATGTAAGATGATGATGAGGATGCAATGAATGGTTTTTCGGTTCCTGCACTCCCTGCTGCCATACGAATCAACAACACGGCAAGGCGCATACTCTCAAATCCAAGCTAGAATGAATCTTGACTCAAAGCTGGAATGAATCTCGATTCAGGCTATGATCAAGCCCAACCATTTGCGCCGCCGCCATACGGCGTGGCTCCAAACGGCGTGGCGCCGCCCATGCCTGCGCCTCCCCAGACGCTTCCTGCACCCGCGGCGGCAGCGGCGCCTCCGCCCGCATAGGGGGTCGTGTATCCGTAATCCATGGGCCCGCCGCCGAGCGCGCCGCCGGGGCTTCTGGGTCCGCCCGCAGGCCCAGCGCCGAAACCGTCGAGGCCGTCGACGACCGCACCGCCGTCGGGACCTGCGTCGCCGCCGGTGAGTTCTTGAATGACAGCGGCGAGTTTCTGCTGGAGCACTTTGACGCCTTGCTGGATAATCGCGTCTGGTTCGAGAGAGCCGACGGACTCGACTTCAAAGTAGAAGCGCGAGGGGACGGCGTCGTAGTCGAACGGCTCGCCTTCGGCGGGGGGGTCTTCCCATTCGGCGTTTTTGGATTTAGGCCTGTATTACATAAATTGAGTAAACTTGAATAGATTTTTTTTTTCGGGGAGAGAGAGAGAGAGAGAGAGAGAGAAAGGGGGAAGGGGGGGAAATACCATTCTTTCTCGGGATCCTCTTCGTACCAGTAGTCGAGATGGCGTAGCTTGTTGTGCGGATCGTACTCGAAACTGATGGCGGCAGTAGGTGCCCATTTGGAGTGTTCTTTGGCAATGCCCTTTTTGGCAATACACTTCATGCGGAGTTCCTGGCCCTTGCGCAGCTTGGCAATGACTGTCCCCTGCCCCTCGGGGTCTGTGATGACGGGCATGCCGACCCATTCGTTGGGCCGCGGCTCCGCGACAACGAGATCCCGCGCGTAGATTTTCATGATTTCGTCGCCCGTGCACCGCGCGTGAAGGGTCAGCGTCACGCTGCAGTTCTCGCAGTATTGCTCGCAGTCGCAGTCTCGTGTGTATAGGACGTCGTCGACATTCTTGGAGTTTAAAGGGACAAGACCAAGCCGGTGCGAGATGAATTCGTCTGGCAGTACGGACGTGTTGGCTTCTACTTCGACGAGATCGATTGCCATGGTGGGCACTTCGGCGAGCATTACTCGCCGCAGAGAGTTGGCGAATGCCAGATCAACATTCGATAGGATAAAGTCGACGAGATGGGGTTCAGCCTAGACATGGTTTTGTTAGATATCTCTATGTTCAAATGTCTCGCTGGCAGTAGGAGTCGCGCGTGTGAGCAGGACATGCAGCGCAAGGGCATATTTCAAATTTCCCAGACAGAGAAGAAGAGAAGTATAGGATCAAGAACTTCCATCTGCCTGTGCACTTCAAGGCTTTGACCCTCAAACTTATATCGACTCCATGTTAAGACTAACCTCTCGAACGGTAACGCCAGGACCGGCATCCTCGCCGTCCATGGCCATCGCTTCGTAATCCATGATTGAGAGCTTTGTAGGTGGAAGTATAATATATTCGGGACGGTTCCGACAATTTCAGCAGGCGGAGACTATCGTCGGCGGCGACGAGAGCTTGTCTCTTCAAAACCTTGCGTCGATGAATCTACTCTCAGCGGTGGCGCAAAAACTCCAAACGAACAACTGGATGTCCTCAACAGACAAATCAATGTTCAGCGGGGCTCAGAACAAAAGTATTCCCAGCCGCACAATCTCTGTAGCTGCGGAGACGCTATGGCTGTCAAACTGCGTTACAGAGCTCGGTGCGTAGCCCAAAGTCGGTTTAAATCGGCGTGTCGTGACGACAGAAAATCTGCCCGGTCCTTGCGATGCCAGACTTGGAGGAGGACTAGCTTCGATCGTATCCAATCTCCTTCCCTTCAATCACTAGGCCTGCCAGAATCCAGAGAGTCGGTTTCGACGCAATTCACAATGTGGTTGAAACAATGCGCCAGAGCCGCATCACGAACTATTGTTGATGACTAATACATGTGGCTGGCGGAGTGATAGGTCACAGCCACAATTTAGTCTCAAGCCACAGTGGACAAACTGTAACTATGCTCGAGCACGAGCCACCGTAAACGCGTCAACAATTTATTTGTTTTCTGTTTATAGAATCTAGACTACTGTACAGTATATACTGTGGGCCACTATGTCCTCGAAAGCAGGTGGCGAATGGTTTATTTTCCATTTTATTCGTATCTTTCTATTAACCCACTGTGTGGGGATATGCAGGCTTTTGCATTAATCAAATACACCCTACAACAAGGGTGACAAGGTATGAAGCGGCTGTGCCGCCCGTACTCTATAGAGTTGACATGTACTATACGTACGCCCAAATGGACAGCCTCGTGAGCATGACACATGCTGTACACATGCTTTCAATCAAATTGCCGATGATGTGTTGTATTTGTCACACTTCCAAGGAGCGTGGCGCAGCAAGCATCCGATCCAAATCCAAGACGGTCAATTCTCCAGTTATATCGGTTGCGTACGGAGGATAAAAGAGCTGTCCATGCGAAGAACACCGTGAAGTGGCGCGAGAGTGCGCCGCGGCATGTCGTAAAGGTAGATCCGGCCGGAGTATTCGAATTTAGTGAGACGAGCATCTGGGTCGACGCTGGTGGTGCAGCAACAGGCATTAAGCTTTTCAGCCATTGAGCGGCTGATGGAAACAATGACAAAGTCGTATTGATTCCCGAGCCACAATGCGATTTGTTATTGTATTAGAACGGCAAGAATTTGCCATAGTAGCATCTCTTCCCTCATGTCAAAGCCACGCTCAGTCCGCGTTCTCGTAACAGATCGATCCAACTGACGCCTGTGGTATCTTCTCCAATTCTTGCTTTTTGCTGCCGAAACGCCCACACTTCGGTTGCGACCTCCTTTACAAGATCAAATGTTCGTGACCCACAAGATGCTCCGCATCGGTCGAGCCACTGCGCTATTTGGACCTGTTGCTCTTCGTATAAAGCTTCGCAGGCGGCCATGAAGCCTGGCCACACCATGGCATGATTCATGATATTGAGGGTGCTCTTCTTATCCTCAAAAGCTATTAGGTGAGTGATAGTCTGTGATACCCAATGCTGGAGCATGATTGGATTAAGATCGAGAATACGGCGGTGGAAGAAGAGCACCAATGCGCAATGAAATGCGGGTGTGAGGTGCTCCTTGATCGGGTTTGCCAACGGATTCGAAGCGTGTCCGGAAAGGAAAGAGTCTGGCATTGTCCAGTGACAGATTTTGTTTTCGAGGTCTTTGACTCTCGCTGACAAACCGGTGATACTTGAAAACAACGGAGTAATATCGCGAGTATTGCCCATTTTTGATCGGAGACTATGTATTTCGTGAGCAAGCTCATTTGTTTGGGAAATGAGCTCGAGTAGAGAAGGAGGGAGGGCGTATATCTCCGAAAAAAGCGCTTTTTCATCCATTTGGGTGCATTTGGGCCCCATGTTATTGAATAAGCGCGGCTCGAATGGACTGCTCGGCACTCTTTCCAGAGCGGGTATCGAATTCTGTTGCAAAAGAGATGGGGCCGAACCAGATACCAACCTCATCCCCTGAAATCCAGCTGGAGGACTCAAGACAGGATTGATCGAGGTACTGTCTGTGAAAACTTGGAGGTAAAGGTAAATATGATGAAGTAAAACAACTTTTCGAGACTTTTGCAGTTTTGGAAGACCTCGGAGCCTGATCAGTTGTTCCGCGCCAATTAAGCAGGATCGAGTTTCCCTGTGTTGGCCACTGTAATACTAAAAAGTTGAATGAGCATGATATATCCTTTCTTGGCTGAATTGCGGTATTTCAAAGCGCTTACCCCAATTGTAATTACGGTGAGAATTGCCATCAAAAGCTCCTTATACTTTGCAGATTTTGCGTTCACCTTGGCTTCATTTATGCACTGCTGGAGGTGATGCATAGCTTTGGCTTTGAAGCCAGTGCCCATTTTCCACCAATAGCTGGATGTATCGAGTATGTGGGACGAAACTCGGTCGAGATGAAAAGCACTGCATGCGAGCACCGAATAGAACAACGAAATCCTTGCATGATTTGCCTTTTGAAACAGGCTTAGCTCTGCGAATGTGCCTGTGGCGCAAGGAAAGTGCAGAATCTGCCACGGGCTTTTCTTGACGGCAATTGGAGGAATAAGTTTCATAATCTGGGCTTGATAGTGTCGAAGAAGAAAATCTGCATTGAGAGGCACAAAATCCTGAATTGCAGCCCCAGAAACCAGAGGAAAGTCAAGGTCTATGGGTGAGATCATATCCTCCAAGTGATCTGCGCCATCTGGTGGTCGTTCCAAGGCGGAGGTATAGTCTTCGAGCAGCAAATTGGGTGGGGACACGGAAAAAAGGAGGCCTTCAGGAAGAGGTGATAGAGAAATTGGCTCATTGGTGATGCCGGCGTCTAATAAGGGATCATCTGGAGGTAGCCAGCTTGCCAAGAACGATGGAGACAATCCGAGCAAGGGATCATCCGTGACTGGCCCCGGTGCTGATGTTGACGGAGAATTTGTTACTCTCACTTCTGACTCCAATAAAGGAAAGACTGTGAAGGGCCCATGTATATAGTGACCGTCTTCTGTTGTTTTTCCATCTAGGTCAAGCTGAATCTTGTCCACGTTACGTCCAGCTCGTGCCACGCTCGTGACCAAGTCATTTGACATGCACGCTCTCTGATCCACTTGAAGGAAACATTTGTCAGCTTCGATTTCAAAAGCTCTCATAACGAGCGAGTTTATCAATGTCTCACCTGACGAAACTATACGCCTGTAGCCCGGGTTGCGTGCTTCGGCTTCGGCTTCTGTTGCACATAGTGGAGAGGCGTCTTGACCGTCATAGAGTGGAAGCCACACCAAAGACGCATCACTATATCCTTTACATGGAATTCCAAGACGTCGACAAGCTCTGCAGTAAGGCTTGGTCTCATCGCATTTGACTTTGCGTTCTCGGCATGAGAAGCAGCCACGAAAGGTCCTTGTGCGGGAACCTCGCGCATGGTTGCCTCGCGATGCCATGGCACCAATAGCAGAATTGATGATTTATTTCTAGATTTGACCAATCATTTAACATGATTTAGTGAAGAGCCCAATCAGGACAGCAACATACGTCTACAGCAGCTTTCAATGGCAGGCTCAAGATTCTCTCATGATGGCTGTCCGCGGGGTCGAAGATTGAGTCTAATCTTATCGACGGAGACGCGATAAAAGAATGGCGGATCGGCCCTTTTTCTCGCCGAAACGATTGCCGCTCTATCGGATTACACCATGTGCAGTGGATGCAGGGACAAGACAGCACCTCAGCCACTACGAAAAGGAATTTACGAATGCCTCGGAACGACTAGGGTAGTTGATGTTTTCGATAGTGTGTTGGCATTACAAGGTAGATCCGGTTCCGTAAGGCTGTACACAGGTGGAGCCTCAACCTGAACTACGAGCGGGCTTGACCTTGTTATGGTTGTTATAGTGGGGCAAGGAGCTTTCAGTGTTTACAGCAGCAGAGGCTGAAGGCAAGAGCTTTTGCAGTCGTCGCGCTTCAATTCATGCATTTGACTTGCTCTAGCTCAGATGACCCTGCAATGAGCAATGTCTGACGAATCTGATACATGACAGCTAGGGGCACCGCCATGGGAACAACCCACTGCAGAAGTTCCTGGCCGGCAATATTTGGCGGGGGCGGACAGATGGATCAAGTCCAAGCCATGATGGCAGCAAGGAATGAGTGAGCAAGAACCGCAGCAAGATCGTTAGTATCCAGATAGTAGTGTGGTTACGAGGCGTACAATGTATGTCTACACCTCTCCCCACCATAATAGTTACCCAACCCGGGCCGGGAGCAAAACCATGGATATGGAAATGAAGAAAGGAAGCAAAAAAATGCAACCTTGCAAGGGTCACAATGCGGGGACACTGTCGAGGACAAGGAGATACTAGATAGTGAATGAAAGATTTGCAATATCAACCCGATTGATTGGGCGGGAGAGGAGCAGGAGCAGAAAAACAGGGCTGTGCAAAAGTAGGTAGAATCAAAAAGGAGTTTCCAGCTTGCGTCTTCTCGAACCGCCGAGACAAGGGAACTCGCAAAGACTGACTCCGCCACGCACAAGAACTCCAAAGCGAGTAGTTACAAGGTATTTCGTGGGGCAGATCACGTGCATAGTTACTTGGAAGATACCAGCCACACAGTCTAGACCGTATTTGTTCCCTTTTTGGTAAGGCCGTGCTTGGCCCCGGCCACGCCGATGACGACTGATAGACAAAGGAGACAGAGAGATCTCCCCTTTGCTACAACTACACTGCCGCTTCACACAAATAAATATTCAAACAACTGCAACCCTTTTACTCTGTCAACATTTCCAAAAACCTACAACTTTTTGAAAACTCACTGAGATTGCCTTTTTCACACAAGCTGCTTTCAATAAGGCTCATATCTTCACAATCTCAAGAAAGACAATGTCAGGAGCAAGCTCACCAGCGCAATCGCGCTCCTCGAGCATGTCCTCGCGCGGTCACCGCACGCCTTCACTCTCGCTCGACCTTTCTGCTGTGCCCGCACTCATTCAACCTTCTCCTCCATCGAACACCCTTCTCATAACGGTATGTTCTCTTTCTCCTGTCCTTTGAAAAGCCTCACCTATCCTGACGCCACCTTCCTGATCTCTCCTGTCTTCCTTTCCGACTCTTCCGATATCCTGACTAACATTTGCCGCTCATCACCAGAACCTTCAAGATCCGGCCATCTTTCACCCTTCGACGTTGCACGAGATCCGAACCCTCATCAATGATTCGGCACAAATTCACTCATGGTCGCCACTCCGTTCTTTCCGACGCATCATTGTGTCCTTCTATGACGAAGAATCCGCCATCAAGATTCGCAAAATCCTTGACGGCGAAGCCATAATGGGTCACCGCGTGCGCGTCTACTTTGGAGAACCGACACCTATTCAGCCCGTCGACCAGCATCTCGGATTACCCGACGCACCCAAACTCTTCTTTATCAGTCCCCCGCCGAGCCCGCCTCACGGATGGGAGTTGCGCAACGAGGACCCCCCCAACAAGGAGGTGCACGCCGAGGATTTGGCAGACGCCTTGTCCAAACTACACGCCACGCAGACAACTGTTGCTTCATCAGAGCCTGCATCACCTGTTGCTTCGCCGCTTGACGGTTTCAAGTCCCGCGAGAACGTACTGAACCGTCACCGATCTGGTAGCTCCACCATGCTCTACCACCCCCAGGACCATGGAGGTAGCCCTGATCTACCCGCCATTGCGGTTGAGGACACGACCGATCTACTAGCTGAGCCGAGCCCCATCGAAAGCTCAACCCAACAACTACCAATGGCGCATACTTCTAGACCGCCGGTCGAGTTGATGTCTGATGCATAAGCCATCGACTTATGTAAATCATTATTTTCTTTTTCACGCTCGCTTCGGTCTCTTATCAGAAATCGTCATCATCGGCCAATCGGAATGTTTACATTTATTTTTTTCTTTATGTCGGCGTTTTGAGGACGGAATTGCTTCAAGCTTCGGAGTCTAATCAGGTCACTCGCACGCAGCATGATTGATCTCGGGTCCCTGGGAGCGGAGGAGCGGGATTGTGCGCATCAGCATTAGCATTAAATGGCGTTTTCGGGTCGTTTGCTCTTATTCTATCTAGAATCACTTGTTCATTGGCAAGAATCAGCATAACCAATGTATAATGACTTATCAAAGCATGGTACCTTATAAAAGTGTAAATGTCAATTCCCAAGAAACTTTATATATTCGCGTATCCTAAGGAGCAATATAAATCCTTTAATATGGTGACACTTAATCTTCTTCCTCTTCTTCATCCTCCTCATCGTCATCTTCATCATAGTCGTCAGATGTGGGAGGCGGCATAGCCATAACAACGCGCTTGGCTACATTTGGTCCGAGAACGGCAGCGACTTGTGCAAAGGCGCCTTTCATCGAGGTGGTGTCGCTGGCGGTGCCGCGTTCCCATGAGACCAAGTACTGTATTTTATAGCGCGAGGCGTTAGTAATTGTAGGTCATAAGGAATTGGAAAACCAATTAGATGTGACAGGAAAGGAAAGGGGGGGAAAGGAAAAGAAAAGGCAGATCAAAGGGAATATGAGCATATGGAACTTACACGAGCGGGGACGGGATAAGGGACAATATGCGTCTGAAGGAGCATATCTCCGAGATCCAATGATGCTTCGACTTCCTCGGGTGCCATGACGCCCGGCATTTTGACTTTGAATAGCGATTTTTCCCTTTTCGGGGGTCTTGTTTTTCTCTTTTTGCCTGAGGGAGGCGCGGTCTCGTCAGATGTCTCGTGTTCCTCTGTTCCCGGTATGCGTTTGACACCGGCTTCTTCAGGGGTAGTGTTCGCATCAAAGCCCATTCGCTGGTCGCGAGATCGAGAGACATATCTTCGTGTCTCGAGACGTTTCTTCATGTCATCATCTAAAGGTGTCCAGGCAAACGTTTCTGGGTCTGGGAAAGAAAAGAAAAATGAGAAATGGGTGTCAGGGACCGTCAGGCCGGGGAGGGTGCAGAAGAGAGGTATTGATCCTACCGAGAATGTACTGCGGCCTGTAGTCGGCTTTATACCGCATTTTGATGCAGGAATGAATATAAAAGCCTTATAATGATCGTTAGTGAAAGAGATTATGAAATTTGGATAGATGACGAACCCATGTAATAGTATTTATATCCGCCTTCTACAGCCAAAGCAGTCTCCCGTAAGGCGCCAAGCTTGCCAAAGTTCCATTGGTTCAGGTCCTCAAAATACCTGGTGGTAAAGGTGAGTCGAAAATGCAGCGACAGAAGAAAAAGGATTGGTGGAGGTTTTTACATGAAATAAACAGCACTGACACAGTCTGGCAGCAGATCAAGTACGCCCATTGCTACCAGACGCCCATCAACGCGGTAGCATTGGTGATAACTCCCCAGCTTCTGAGGCCTTCCACTGACATTACGCTCTTCCCTAACAAGCGGGGATGAGCAAAGAAAACCTTTGAAGCCTTTTCTAGTAATAGATTTGGGCTCTTCACGGTGTACAATGCGTTGGTAATTTGCGTAAAGAGCGTACCTATTTGTCGTAAGTATGTGATTTTTGAAGCCTAATCAGTTTCGGAAGCTTACTTCTCTTCTGTAAAGGTGTCCGGCTCTAGAGTGACTTCGAATGTATGCTCAGGCTGAGGAGGTCGCTTTACATTGGCAGATTCGCACTCGTGCAAAGAATGGACCAAATCAAATTCATTTTTCCGACGTGATTTTTCCCTGCCGCAAAGGAAAAATGAAATAAGTAATTTGAGCGTATCACGAAGAACACAGAGACTTGAGCGTACTCTTTGGATACCGGGTGCAGTCGCGCTGCTTCATGGATATATTTCTCTCCCAGAATGTGTTTTGACCAGCGATTCAGGGCTTGTCTCTGATCCTTTGCTGGTTTGAACTGCTGGGCATCTAGTCTGGCTTTTCGTTAGATGACAAGAAGATTCGCCGAGTAATGATGCCCAAGTAGAAATATTCACCTAATAGTGTAATGTGGGCAGCATGCATGCAAAACATCCGGCTTATAAATATATGTTCCTGAGCTTAAGAGCTTCAAAATTAGTCACGTGCGGACACAAATAGGAATTTTTTTTAGAGCTCATACCGTCTCCAGCCACGATTCATTAGGTCGATGTAGTCATCTGTGGTAAGACTTCTACAAAAAACAAAGTAGGAAGGGCCTGCCGGGATTGGGATCAGCAACGGTAAACGGCTCAGGGTCGCCGAAGAGGAGGAGGAGGGGGATATGCGTGACAGCGGAGCTTACGTACTGCCATCATCCGTCCTTTTGCAATATCCGCAGCGGTTATTCATGTACCCTGTTGAAAAAAAATATATATTTAGCGCGTGAAACTATGTGGTGAAATGGTACGGAGATGTGTGTTGTACGTCCATACTAACCCCGGGTTCGGAGGATGCAGAAGCGCTGGTTACCATTCAAGAGAGCACGCGGGACAACGGGTAAAGATGAGTGGATGGGAAATATACTTCTTACCGAGGGCAGCAATGGAGGACAATCCTTTTTCCGCCATGAATATGGGGCCTTAACAGGCTCTGATGCAGGTTGCTGTGTGGGGTTTATAAAAAGGTGCTGTGTTGTTGTCGCGTTCCACTGGACAGAAGCTAGCGCCGGCAGCCGACAGCGATGACGATGGTGGGGTGAGCGGCGGGGTCAAGCATAAATGGACACCCAGCGATGGGCAAATTTTGTACACGAGAGTAGAAAGGGAAAATTTTGAAAGGAAAAGGAAAAGGAAAAGGAAAAGAAGAGGATGCGGTCGATTGATGTAGATGTCGAAGCTGCCTTCAATAGAGTGTTGTGGTGGATATGACAAAAAAGACACAGAGCAAGGTTCTAGATGGGCCTTTGGAGCGAGCTACGGTTTGGGTGATAACTGTATCATGCAACAGACACTGGGACAACACATCGATAAGTATGTCATCGTTCTTCCAAAAGCGTTCCACTAGGTAGCAATGGTTCGTCTCAGGTCCAAATTTCATCACGGATAGGCTGATCACAAGCTCATCCAGCCTGGCAAAATTGGCTTGGATGCGGGTTTGGAGGACGCATGTGGGACTGTCTCTTGACAAACCAACAGAAGGGAGCAAAAGCTAAAGCACAAGCTTCAGCTGAGTAGCCAAAAAGAAAAAAAAAAATAAAATGAAAAATAAAGGCTCATGTATTTCAATCAACTAAAATTCCAGATACTGGGACGATGCAGAGTTACACCAGCTCAACTCTGGCCCTTTCAGGCAGTATCTCCAGTTCCATGGAACGGACCCATGTGGGCTGCAGATTCTCATCTCAGACCTGACCAGTCGCGTCGTCGAAATCAGATGCAGTCAGCTTGACAGGGCAGGACACTTTCACATACAATACAGTTGAAATTGGCCACATTGTTGCTGGTATAGGTCAGATGAAGTTGACATGTCGTCGTGACAATGATGATAGGGGCATCAATCAAGCAAGCAAGCAAGCAAGAAAGGTACATATACTTTTTATTGTGGACTATACAGTTATAATATAAAGTATCTATACATGATGATTGTCATGGATGCAGGTGAAGCCCCACGAGATCAACCCCCACTTTCTTTCCCTCTTGCCCCTCTTTTGTCTTTCTGTCACTCACTCTTTGCACTCTCTTCCTCACGATTATCGTCAAATCTACAACCTCCAACATCGTCAATTACTCCAAAAAAATGAATGTATCCAGCAGCAACGCCACCAATCATTACACGTTTCTCTGATAAACTGAGGCTCTGCATATTATTGAACAGGTAAGTGACTTTTCCCCTAATGGCAGATCGTCCAGGGTGCCACCCCCCTCAACCCTGCGACCCCTCGTCAGAAACGCCCCCCCTCCCCTCTCGAAACTCCCGGAAAGAGTGGCACTAAACTCAACTCAAAAGGGACGGACTGGGACTGGCACCAGCGACCAGAAACCACACTACACAGTAATTTAGCACTGGAACCGACCATGGCGGCGGCGGGACGAGGCACCAGAACCCTCACGCTCTAAACGCTCCACACGCCATTTTTACCTCCCACTCACTAAACTACTGCCGTTCCTCTCTTCTCGTTTGATTATTCTTAACACCATGTCGACGACCTTTCTCATCGCTCTTCCGTCCAGGAAAAGGTCCATCCACCTTCCTCAGCCCCGTCTGTCGCGGGACTGAAGGAATTCATTTGTCCTATTATTCTCTTCCTCTCTAATCATAATCACTTGGAATTATCCCCCACATCAAATGGAAATCTCTGGTTTCTTTTGAGGCACCGCAATTTGATATACCTACCTTTCCTCCATCTGGTCACATCTTTGCTCTTGGCTGCGTCACATTGTATCATCATTGTGTGCGCTCACGTCGATAATTCTTTCACCGGCCAAAATAACGCCATCGGCAAAACCGTACAGTGGAATTTGAGATATTCCCGGCCTTCTTCACGGATTTCCTGTCACCGCCCACGCTCTCGCCAGACGATCCCAATTCGCAAAAGATCGAATCTCTATCACTTTGCAAGGGAATCCTTTTCATTGCTCTCCAACAACCACGTCACTCATTTCATTATCCAACGCCTTTAAACCGCCAACTGCATTCGCTGGCCGATCGAATCTTGGGAGCTGGGCTTGCACAAAGGACTATTCCTCTCTTACAGACGTACACTCTACAATGGCACAATTACGGTCTATGGAGGCCCGAACGGGTCGAAAATTACAACGTATGTGACTCAATCCTACGACCTTGCCATTGACTTTTTGACTTCAAATCGCTAACTTTTGCATCACATAGGCTACGGAGCACAAGGTGAGAGACTTGTAGCCGGCGTTGTTCCTCTTTCACTCGACAAGACCAAAGTTCTCCTCGTAACGTCAACCACAGGCGGATGGGTACTGCCTAAAGGCGGCTGGGAGACTGACGAGGCAGCGGCTCAAGCAGCATGCCGGGAAGCATGGGAAGAGGCCGGCGTCGTGTGTCATGTTCAATACGACTTGGGTGTTATTCAGGAGCCGCCGTCGCTGACACCCAAGGCATATCAATTTTTCGAAGTCGCCGTGGACAAGGAGGAGGCTGCCTGGCCGGAACAAGATAAACGCGCGCGTCGCTGGATGACGTATCGGGAGGCAGCGGCCGCCCTGGCCAAACGGCCTCCTCTTCTTGAAGCGCTGAATCGGAGTTCAATCAAGAAGGCTTAGACAGTCTGGTCAAGGCTTTTTGTTGTCTCAGTGCCGTTATTCGTTCTTTGCCTTTTTTTCTTTTTTCTTTTTCTCCCTCCCCATTTGATTGCATCTTGCATCTTATACGCATCCTCTTCGTCGAATCACCTTTTGCACCAAAATATTATTACTGGCTTCTTATCGGGTTATACCACTTCTGGTGGCCTCAGATTCACTTTTCTCATCAAAAAGATCGATATCCCCTTTCTCTGCTACTACAGATATACAACGGATGGGACAAGGCGGTATACATTGCTACTCTATTCAGTCTCAAATAACCACAATCGCATCACATGATACTCTTTCAATTACGCATAATATCCTACCAATCAGGGGAACATATGTCCCATATAAATTATTATTATTAATAGTCTCGCCTTTCGGCACGTTATACACATTCTATCTTAGGCAGTACTGGAAATGCCAGCTAGTTTCTTGATCTCGGGCACTTTTTTCTCCAAGGCACTTATGATCTCCGCCCACACTTTTGGTTTTATCTGCGTCTGTGCCTTCTCCGACGACACTATCTCTTCAGGTCTAGATGATCATGCATATCACGCGTCAGCTCTTCTCGGACCGACCCAAAGAGATCTCCAAACAGATCATATAAGGGGGTTGCCACTCACTCCGCGATATTCTCAACGTCGTAAAACTTTCCATGCGCTTCCGGTCCTTGCAGCGACGCATTCACTAGCGTCCTGCTCCCAACCTCGGTCGACTTGGCTAAAAGGCTGTAGAAAATGTATTTGGCAACACCGTAAAAAAACCCGGAATAGTGTCGCGCCAAGTCGGACCAGCAGAATCCAGGACACAGAGGAGTCACAATGACCTGTGGTGGTGACGTTGCTGACGCAGAATCTCCAGTCGGAGCTTTAGTGGTAGGAACAGCAGGAGCAGCGGCTAAAGCGGCCAGTTCATCGACAGCGTACATGAGCAATAACTTGGACACGGCGTACTGTCTGGGGCCACTATAGTTGTCTGGTGTATTGAAATGCTGCAAAATGTCCGGCGCGTCTTCCCATTCTCCATGCCCAACTAGTTTGTATGCCATGGAGCTTACGATTGTGAGATGGGGAATGCGGTTATTCTGTTCTTCTTCCGCCGCCGCTCCTGTCTTTGCGGCCAAGGCACCCGCTCCCTCTTTCAACTTCGGCAGCAACAGTAAAGCCAACAAGACAGTCGACAAGAGATTGACTTGCAAAGTTTCTTCCCACCCCTCTGGCGACTTGGTAAAAGAGGCCATGTGCAGGCCTGCATTGAGCAGAGCGATATCCACCCGTTCTACCTCTGTGCTGACGCGGTCTGCAAATGCCTTGACGCTGCTGGAATCGTCCATGTCGAGATGCCATACTTTGATAACACCCCGTCGTTGAGTCTGCTCCTCAATGGCGTCTTTGGCCGCGTTGCCCTTTTCCATGCTCCGCACCCCGAAAATCACAGTGGACGCTCCAAGTGAGACGTATTTCAGGGCGGCTTCAAACCCGAGTCCCACGTTGGCGCCGGTCACCAGGACGGTATATCCCTCCAAGTTGGCGGACATGAGTGCTGGCGGAACCCATTTCCGTCGAATAGCGCTGAAGATGCGCGACATGACGGTGCTGTTGCTGATTATTTCGTGGAGAGTATGAGAGGTAGGTAGAGGGCGATGGGCAGATCTCAAAGGGGATATATCCTAAGCTCCCTGGAGAAATTTGGACAGTGTTAGAATCTCAATTGATATCTGGAGTGGATATATATATATATATATATGAGATATATGAGATGTACGAAGTTGCACACGAAGAATGGGGAAATAAGTAGGTTTAAGATCTCGAGACAATGAAGCAAGGAATAGAATCAATTGACCAGACAGCAGCGCAAGCAGATGAATTAAATAGCAAAATATTTATATGGCATTGACAGGTCCGGAGCCAGAGAAAGCCAGATAATACTGCAGCCAGACAATTGACGCCAGGACGCTCGGATGCGGAAGAGCTAGGTTCCGAAGTGATAAGCCTCCCAATTAACTTAATGAATCTATCAACCAAGAAAATGCTAGACTAACCTGCGAATTGAAATTGAGTTCACAGAAACTAACAGAACTTTGGAAAGACAATTGAAATAGGGGAGAAGCGCGAGTATACTCTAATCGGTTGCATAATTGGGAAGGTACCGAAGTCAGCTATAGACACAGGGATAGTTGGTTGAGCAGAATGATCCAGCCTGTGTCGCGAATACAGTATTTAAAAGGATAGAATTTAAAAAATATACGAAGAATTAAACAACGAATCAAAGAGATAGTTATAACATGATTCGCTATTTGAGATAATTGCATATACACAACGGATGAATTCAGTCAACGAGGCAAGCTCCCAAGTAAATATCCCGTCAATCATAACCAGGAACCCATCATCATCATCGACTGGGGAGCTGCAGTAGAAGGTAAACCCCATTGTGATTGGACATCTAAGCGAAGACATTGCATCAGGCTCTCCGGACCGAAACCGCAACTGAGACGGAAGATCCCAACTCACCATCGATCGACCTCTATCGCATTGACCAGGACCATACGACCCTCATTTCAATTAATCCCCTTTTGGCACCTTGCCATGGACTGGACTTGACCGCGCATTGTCCACTCTTTTGTGTCCACCTTAGTTCTTTCCTTTACTTATTTTGACGTCTCCCGCATACATATACAACATGGAGCATTTATCACTACGAGACACCCCTCCGCCGCCCGCCGCGGGCACACCTGGCACGCCTGGCCCGCAGGGTGGACAGCCATCTGGGGTCGCGCAATTACCTCCGCAGATGTTTACCACGGCGGCGCAGCTGCTTGACTTGACAGACAGTGAGACTCACCCTTTTGTACTAGTACTGAGGTGATGCAGAAAATGGAGGTGTCTGTGGAGGGCTCCAGTGATGCTACTGGTGACAAATGGACAGACGGCGGGAAGAAAACCAGGCTAACATGTGAGGGAACTGTTACTTTTTGATATAGAAAAATTAATGGTGTCGCTTCGAGATGGAAGAAAGTTGATTGGTGTTTTGAGGAGTTGGGATCAATTCGGTATGCAACTGGCCAAAATTTCGAGAACCAGACGGCTACAGTGGAGTGTGGGAAACTGATGAGAGGGATTGATTTCCTAGCGAACCTCGTTCTTCAAGATACGGTGGAGCGGATATTCGCCGACAAATACTACGCCGATGTCCCCCGCGGCATCTACATTGTGCGCGGAGAAAACGTTCTCTTGCTCGGCGAGATTGTTTGTCGTCCCTGCGACACTCCTCTCTTTCTCTCAAAAGGATATTCTGGTCTAATTGTTCGGTATAGGATCTCGACAAGGACGACTACATTCCCGAACCATTCCAAGAGGCGCCTGTTGCCCAAGTATTTGCATTGCAGAAGAAAGAGCAGGAAAAGCGACAAAAATCGCACAAGTTCCGAAAAGCAAAGCTCGCGGAGCTCGGCTTCGAAGGAGAGCATGCTGGTGAAGTCTTGTTTTAGACGAGACTTTTGCGGAGGTTTTGCCAGATTACGTGCTTCGGCTGGGACTTTTTGGAGACCCTTTCGATTTTTTTCGTTGCTGCCCGATTAACATGAAAGTGAGTGTATCGGGGCCAGGGGTCAGTCGTCGAGAGCAGAATATTGTGAAATGCATCTCGCGACAGAGCATTAGATGACGACAGCTCTCATCTTTCTGCTGTTCCCATAATGGGACCTGAAGAGCAAGAAACTTGATGAACGAAGCGTTAGAAATAGTCGACTACCCGCCTGGGAAATTTTCTTAGAAGAGTCGGGTGTCCACTAATAATTTCACGTCCTTTTACGATTTTATGGATACTTGATCAATTTCCTTGTGTCGAGGTGACACTTGCCAATTTTGTCGTCGTGTTTCAAATCGTTGATCGACTGCTTTCCAGTCTTGCTTGAACCCCTCGATGCCTTCGAGCAGTCGCTCGTCCTCGGCCATGTGCATATATGGGTATGCTAGTGTTTCGAGCGCTTTGAGCTGTACTTTGAGATAGGTGAGCTCAGCACAGTCATCTGAGAGATCGTCTTCCCTGACAATGAATTAGCTAGGTAAGCTGTGAATGTAGAGTTCTGGTGCAAGCATACATTGATTCTACTTTCGATGCTAATTGTGCCGATCTTCTGGCCTCATCATCAGATCGCGCAATGGCAATCTCATGAACATGCTGAAATATCGTTAATATGTTCTCAGATGATGAATTGGAGGCGTCCGGGACATACTTTGAGTTCTTCGTAGCGCAGGTGAAGTTCCTTTACCACATACGATACCCTCGCAAGAAGCTGCTGCGCAGCCGCAAGCTCCCTGGCTTTGCGCTCAGTTTCTTCTAATTCGGAGTCGATGGTGGCGGACTCGTCCTGCCGGCTCTCATCTTCGCCAACCGCGCCGGTCGCGCTCATAGCGTCTTCCTTAGATGTGGTGGGCGCATCTGAACTAGTTACTCGAGTTGTATCATCTGCAATCGTCTCATCGTCTTCATCACTATCCTGACTCTCGTCTTGGTCTTGATCTTGATCTTGCGCCTGCGCATCTACCTCTTGCACCACGACTGGTTGTATACCCTCCTCTCTGCCTAAATCTACAAAAGAATGGCCTGCCAGCAGGCGCTCCATTTCATCCAGTCTTCCGTGAAGTGTGGTTGCGGTCGCGTCTCCTAAATCCTGACTTTGCACTCGAATAGCCAAGTGCTGTAATCTTTGTGCCAGTCCGGCTCTCGGGTTTCCTGGATCAATATCCAATGTCGAATATGCAGAATCTGTAAAGTAATCCGAAGTTGGAGAGGCTCGTCCAGGATGGAAAGCGTCCTCTGGGACGCAGATATATTCGTAACTCATCGCAATATGTAATTAACTCAACATGTATATAAAATCAAGTGGTGTCGCTGATACTGATGCAAACATGCTATTCAAGGGATTTGTGATCCATGCTGGATGTGAAATACGGTGTAACCGTTGTGGTCAGCAGTCTGTGTAGCCTTGGACTCGGCGGGAGTCTAGTATGCAGAGCGTTGTTTGGGAGTTGCCTGATCGGAGGCCGAATATGAGGGGAGAGAGTTGTCGGCATTTCAACCAGCCGATGACACACTCAAAGACCCCGCGGAAATTGCCGCCAAAATTATCCGTCACCAAATATCTCCAAAAGACACCCCCCACCAGCGTTTAAAAGGCACAGCCCACGCTTCAGTTCAAGCCTCGAATTAATTGTCATATAGATTTGCTTGTTTGGTTGATACTATTCCTATAGATTGGACTGGTCACTCAGAAAACACCATCAATCTAACATACCGCCCGTAATGGTGTACCGAGTATGCAGCCCCCACCATGAGCTTCATATTCCGCATGCACTGACTTTATACTCTAGGGAGATATACGCCCGACGGTCGAAGAGGCCCGGGACATCCTCTCTAAGACTATCACATCTTCAAAACCCCCGAACCTGCTTCCTCTCTGCGTTACGATACCCGCCGACCTCCTCACCCCGTCCCTCGCATATTTGAAGATTTCGGCCAAGTGAGTCAGACCACGCAAGAGCTCCAAAGCAGAGAGTCTATGATTTCGCCAATTAGAGTCGTGGGGCTAAATTGAAGCTTTATAGATCAAAGTCAAAGCTTTCCTTCCTCTTTGAAAGCGCCGCCGGTGCAGAAACAGTTGGCAGATATTCTTTTGTCGGCGCAGGTTAGTCCTACTTCGATCCCGCCCTCTCTTGCCCTTCTTTAGCGCGCACTGCTCACCAATTCGCTCGATCTTCTCTTCTGATCATCTCTCTAACTTGGAACCACCGCAGATCCCAAGAAAGTATTCAAAACCGGCCCCGGCCATGGCCCTGAGACCGACCCTCTGCCCCTTCTCGAAGCAGAGCTTGCGCAATACCGTGTGGCTTCTGTCCCATCACTCAATCTGCCTCCCTTAGCTGGTGGCGCAATTGGATATGTCTCTTACGATTGCGTGCGGTACTTTGAGCCCAAGACGCGGCGAGATATGAAGGATGTCCTGAAAGTTCCTGAGAGTCTCTTCATGCTCTTCGACACCATTGTCGCCTTTGACCACTACTTCCAAGTGACCAAGGTCATTACCTACGTTCCTGTGCCGGAAACCCTCTCCTCTCTGGATGCCGTCTATGCCCAAGGCCGCGCTGTTATTGACGACACCATCTCAACGCTCATGAGCTCGCACATTCCTCTTCCCGAGCAACCTCCGATTGCCCTTAACCAGGAATACACTTCGAACATTGGCCGCGAAGGGTACGAGAACCACGTACACAGACTAAAGAAGCACATTTGCAATGGCGACATTATTCAGGCTGTCCCCTCACAGCGCTTCTCCCGCCCCACGACACTCCACCCGTTCAACATCTACCGCCGCCTCCGCACCGTCAATCCCTCACCTTACCTCTTCTACATTGATTGCGAAGACTTCCAGCTCGTCGGCGCCAGCCCTGAGCTCCTCGTGAAATCCGAAAAGGGCCGTGTTCTGACCCACCCGATTGCCGGAACAGTCAAGCGCGGCGCAACGCCCGAAGAAGACGAAGCGCTGGCGGACGAACTGCGCAGCTCGCTCAAAGACCGCGCCGAACACGTCATGCTCGTGGATCTTGCGCGTAACGACATTAACCGCATCTGCGACCCGCTAACGACCCGCGTCGACCGCCTCATGACTGTCGAAAAGTTTTCCCATGTCCAGCACCTTGTCTCCCAGGTCTCTGGCGTCCTGCGGCCCGATCAGACGCGGTTCGATGCCTTCCGCTCCATTTTCCCCGCCGGCACCGTCAGCGGCGCTCCAAAGGTCAAAGCCATGGAGTTGATCGCCGAGCTCGAGGGCGAGAAGCGCGGCGTGTACGCCGGTGCCGTTGGCTATTTCGGCTATGGCGGAGTCAAGGTCGACGGCGACCACGTCTCAGAGATTGAAGGCGCTATGGATACATGTATTGCTTTGCGAACAATGATGGTAAAGGACGGTGTAGCCTTTTTGCAAGCCGGTGAGTTCCTTTATTCCTTTATTCCCCTTTTCTGCATTTCCTCCTTTATTATCTTTCCTCTATTATCCCCCGTTTCTTCCTCTATTATCACTCTTTCCTTTTTCTTCTTTTTCCTTTTTTGCATTTTCTTCCCTCAGACATATTCCCCCAGATGATAGGCATCCATGCTAACACGAAATGAAATAGGAGGCGGCATTGTCTTCGACTCTGACCCCTACGACGAATGGATGGAAACCATGAACAAGCTCCGCGCAAACATGACGTGCATTTCGTCCGCAGAGGAGCGGTACTTGTCCATACAGAGTCTAGGCGACGCAGCCGTTGATGGAATCAGTAGTAGTACCGATAGTCAAAAGCCTAGAGCGCATGTCGATTTTGCTGCTTAATTATATCCATTTTTTCCTTTTCCTTCTTCCTTTCCCTTTTTTTCTTTCCTCTTCTGTTTCCTTTTTCCTAAGATGTTAGCTTCTCCATCTCCTTCCTTTTTTTTTCTCTCTCTTTTTCCCCCACCTCCTTCCATTTCTTTTTTTTTTTTTTTTTTTTTCTTTGATTCTTATTTTCCCTTTATTGATTCTTTTATACATTCAACTTGGCTCTTTATACAATGTATTGATATCATTTGAAGAATAAAATTGAGCCTCGTGGCTTTTGATCTCATCTTTTAGCTCCTTTTTACTTTTTTTGGATGTGGATTTATCTAGTGTTCTTACAATTTCTTTGATTGAGGGCGTTATCTACGTCTAATATGCTGGAATGCTGTAGCTGTAGCTGTGGCTTACCTTCTAGTTCTTTCTGCCTTTCTGTCCAAATGACAATGAAATGAAATGGGATAATTATGGAATAAAATGAGAATAAAGGTGGAATCATAATGAAAGTATAAAGATATAAAGATATTACATACATATTGAACACCGTACAGATCCGACTATATGTAACAACAGACGTGGCTACATATGCGACAAGAGCAAGATATGCCGCGCATCGGGACCAAGAGATAACAGCATCAAAAAGTAAAATCCGATCTAATTTACAAATGAATGCGAAAATCTATCGCAACTCTACGCCCAGAATCTCAACCAGTTTATCCTGCACCTTGCTATGTAGCTCATTCGCCTCCTGGTTTGTCAGAGTGCGTTCCAGACTGCGGTAATTCAGCCTGTACATCATGCTCTTTCTGTTGGTCTTGGGGTGCGTGAATTCATCCATGAGCTTGACATCTTCAATGAGGTCCTGGGCCACGTCGCGCACGATTTCCATGACGTCGTTTTCGTGAAAGGCGGTGGGGGCTTGAGTAGAGGATGTGTGCGGGTTCGGCATGCCGCCGGCGCTGCTGCCTGCGGCGTCAACGTCTTTGGTTGCGGCTGCATCATCTCCCTCTCCCGCTCCCGCTCCCGCTTCCGCTCCCTCGGCCACCTCGGTGGCTGGCGGCAGCCAAAAGGACACGTCCTTGTAGCAGGCTGGGTACTTTGAAAACGGAATAAAAGGAGCGATTGGCTTCTTTGCGGAGAACTGGGACAAGAACCGCGGGTCCTGAGACCAGAATAGCCGAATGTCGGGGATAGAGTACAACAGCATGGCGATGCGCTCGAGACCAATGCCGAACGCCCATCCGATTTGAGAGGGCACGCCGGCGTTGGAAGGAATGTTTTGGTTCACGACACCGCAGCCGAGAAGCTCGAGCCAGTCGCCTTGCCAGAAAACTTCGAGCTCCCATGATGGCGAGGTGAAAGGGAAATAGGCTTCGATCCAGCGGACTTTGAGCGGTTCGTCGGTAATGGAGGGGTTGTCATCAGAGGGATCGGATGAGGACGATGAGGAGGAGGAAGACGCGTTGTTTGCTGCAGCTTCTTTGGCGGCGCGGAAAATCGTTGCAACGACAATTTCAATTGACCGCTTCAAATGCGCGGCAATGGCCTCGCATTCGGCCGGGCTGTGATGTTTGGCCTGCAGCGGGTTGCGCACGGGGTCGAACGTCGGGTTGGGGTCTTCGACGATGATGCCAGGGTCCGGCAGAGCTTCAAAGTCTTTCCAAATCATCTCGGACAAGTCTTCGCCCGGTCGTGCCCGCTTGCGGTCCCACATGCGCGCGCCCTCCATCTGGTGGAAGACGGGGTAATGGCTCCGGTCAATGGCATCGCGGCGGTAGACGTCGGCGCTGATGAGGAAGCCGTCTGTGAGATTGGCATGGAAGATGTCTGCCTGATGCGCACTCGTGTGTGTTCGCAGCACCGTGTTGCGGTTGATGTAGTATGTGTCTGTCCGGCTGCGGCCGGGATGGTCGACGGGGAAATTGAGCGAGTCAAAGTTTTGCTTGGTCGTCACCACGGGAAAGAGCTTGTTGTGGTATTTCCAAAGCGGCAGCGGGAAGGCAGATTCGATCAATTTCCGCGTCAGACAGATGGGATGATCGGGTTGCAGGTGCAGCTTGCGCGTGACGGCCTCGGTGATGTGTTTGGGAACATTGGTCCACTCGTCTGTAGGGTATTTTCTGTCGCCAATGGCAATAATGCCCAGTTTTCGGATCGGAGGGAAGCCTTTAGCATACACTAGTTGGTCCTGACTGTTCTTGTTTTGCTTCTTTTTTATAGCAGAGGATTTTGATGAAGATGATGAAGATGATGAAAATGAAGATGAAGCGGATGGTTTTGATCTCCGCTTCTTTTTGGAAGAAGAGAATTTTATTCTGCGGTATATGCGTTTGTAAAGGGGATTGACAGTTGATTTTCTCTTGGGCATGGGAAAGAAATATGTGTCTTTTGGTGATCGCTTTTTGGGAGGGGTAGGTGATTTTGTGACGCGGGAAGATCTTAGTCGTGCTCTTGTGCGAACTAATGATCGTGGACGTGCTCGGGAGCGGGGATTGGGGAAAAATCGAGAAGGGGGCCGTCGTGCCGGACGGGATTCATTGCGCTTACTGGTGGAGGAGCTGCTGGTGGTAGTTGGGGTATAGCTGCACCGCAGCAAAGGCCGCCGAGAGGAAGCGGTGCTTGTGATGAGCGTGCGTGACGGCTGTAGAGATTGGGTCAGGGCATGGCTAAAGCCACGAAAGGCCCTGCCCGTTGCGAGCAGACGCATGCCTTAGAGATGTAGCTTCAATTGAGGCCGAGCCGACCCTCAGATGAAGCTCTTCTGTGACTGTCAATAAATTGAAGTTGAATTGTTTGACGTTGAAGATCCAGGGTTCTGCCGGGTAACAGATGGTGAAGTAATTGGCCAATCAAATCAATCTGACGGCAGAATTCCATATTTGAATTAGCCGTAAAGAATAGATTAAGCGGTGAAAGAGAAAACAGACTCTAATTGGATGAGATGACGACATGGGGATATAATCAGGCAATGATTGGCTGATGGCCTGACCGTCTTTTAAGGCCGATGACTCCGAAGGGGCAAAAGAAACAAAAATAATTCGAAATCCAATTGCCGTGGATGATAACCTCCCACTAAAACTTATCTCCTCCCCCTCCTCCGTCTCAATCTCCACCAAGAGATTCATTTCTTTTTTTGGTCTCTATTCCAACTCCACATTCCTACCATCATTATTTGCCTGCGGGCATGATTCCGCCAGACGACAAACATCATGTCTGTCGCTCCCACCACTGCTACGGCTACCAATAAGGCGCAGAATCCCGCCATTGTCAAAAAGGACGCAGACTATCAAAAGAGCAAGCATATTCGCTATCCCTTCTGGTTTGGTGGATCTGCCTCGTGCTGTGCTGCCGCAGTCACACATCCTCTAGATCTAGGTATGTAATTAGCTACAAAAGAACGTCGCTACCCAAAAGTTGAAACTGGTAAACTGACATCCTACCTGCAATATAGTCAAGGTACTTTCTGAGTCACAACACTGTCAAATCACCACTTACTCATAGTGATTCCTGCAGGTTCGCCTTCAAACTGCGCCCAAGGATGCGCCCAAACGAATGCTCGGCATGTTCATTCATGTGATCAAAGAAAATGGTGTTCCAGGATTATACAAAGGCGTATGTCATCTCAACTCCTCAAAGCTCTGAACGAAACAAAGTGAATCAAGCATCCTTGATCGCCTGTGCTCACAATTATACAGCTCTCTGCTTCTCTTCTCCGGCAAATCACCTACAGCACCACGCGATTTGGAGTCTACGAGAAGCTCAAGGATGGATTCACGACACCAGAGCATGCGCCGTCAATGGCGACACTTGTCGGAATGGCATGCACATCCGGATTCCTGGGTGGACTGGCAGGCAACCCAGCGGACGTTCTCAATGTGCGAATGCAACACGACGCTGCACTCCCCCCGGCTGAGCGGCGCAACTACCGCAACGCAATTGACGGACTGATTCGCATGTCGCGTGAGGAAGGACTCGCGAGTTTGTTCCGTGGAGTAGGCGCCAACAGCGCACGAGCAGTGCTCATGACAGCCTCGCAGCTGGCTTCATATGACGGCTTCAAGCGCAGCTTACTCGCCAACACGCCGCTCGAGGATAATCTCACGACACACTTTACTGCGTCATTTTTGGCAGGATTTGTCGCTACGACCATTTGCTCGCCCGTCGACGTCATCAAGACCCGCGTCATGAGCGCAAAGGAGACAAAAGGTCTCGGACACTTGCTTGCCGACATTTATCGCCATGAGGGCATCACATGGATGTTCCGCGGCTGGGTTCCCAGTTTCATGCGACTCGGTCCTCACACCATTGCCACGTTTCTCTTCTTAGAGGAGCACAAGAAGTACTACCGCAAGTGGAATTCATTGTAGCCTGATGCACCTCCATACCTACATCGGGCCCTTCGCCAGCAGCTTGATAACTCTTCAGCCATTGCCTGGAGGCAATGCTGCTGATTTTCAAAAGCGACTGTCAATACCCATTTTCGAAGCAGATCTCTTGCAGCAATCTTATCAAATACCTGGCGCTCATTTACCCCTCATTTCATCCGAGCCGGCCAATCTCTTCCGCCTCTTTACATCTGGCATCGCAATCAACTTCTAAAGCATTGTCACGGCGTTGTTGTCTTTGTCCTTAATCCTTTTTCTCTTTATTTCCTATCTTTCCCCCTTCTCTCTTTCCTTCGTCTCATGTTCATATCCACTTTCCTTTCTCTCAGTCTTATTCTTCTCTTTCTTTTTTTTTTTTCATATATTCCCAGTGATAGACCATATCCTTTTCTTCCACTCACATTAACACCCTTAATTCTTTGCCTTCTCTTCCATCTTCGAATATCTTCCCTTTTACCTTTCCTTTCTTCTCTTCATTTTTCTTTCTCATTTCCCTCTTCTTCTTCAATTCACAGATAGACTGAACATACTGAATAGATTAGACTAGACTTATTGTTCATACTCTGACCAGCACATTTAGAATCCCCCCCTTTCCTTATTTTCTTCCCATCGAATAAAGTAACATATTATCAGGATGAATTAAAAAGTCACATTTACCAAATACTCTCTTACTCCTTTCCTTTCTTTTCTTATACAAGGTTAAACTTTCTTAAAAATCAGCGTACCAAATGAATGATATATTTACATTTTACACACGCCCAACGAAAATGGTCCTTGCGAGAACGCGAAGGACGCAAGGACGCAAGGGCACGAAAATTGTAACTTCATAATCCCCTGTATCCTGTATATCTAGATGACAAGTGAAACGATGATTCGCCGAAAAGGTCAAGCTACCAGAGCGTAAATCTCTACCGGAAGATAAGATCCAACCGGAAGAACATGATGATCTTGAATGGAGGGGGGAAAGATATATGACAAAAGGAGTGGGTAAAAATGATGTATGAAAAAAGGAGACAGAGGCGAAAACTAAGACGAAACTAAGACTAAAACTAAACATCAACACCGCCCAGCCCATCAAGTACTTCATCCGCCACGCCACCGCGTCGCAAGACCAAGTCTATCATGCGCGAAAGTAAGCCGCGCTTGACTCCGCCTCGGGGCGGCGTCCATACGGCGCCGAGGATCTGTTCGCGCGCGGCAATCGCGTCGGCGGCCGAGACGGGCGCGGTGCCGCCGGTGGCGGTGTTGAGTTCGTTGGGCACGCCGGGCGGGGTCAGGCGGGAGGGGGGGTCGATGGTGCGTGCGGAGAGGAGGTGGAGGGTGCGCTTTGTCTCGGAGTCGGACTTGGATGAGGCAGCAGGAGCTGACGATGACGAAGCGCCGGGCCCGGAAGCTGATGATGTGGTAGAAGGGCCAGACGGGCCAGAAGAAGACGGATTAGATAAAATAGAAGGGGAAGAAGAGAAAGAGGAAGAAGTCTCGCCAACAGAGACGGCGAGTACAACCTCTGCAACGACGAGTTCCTCACGGCTCGGGTCAAACAGAATGTTATTGCCCACGGCCATGACGAGGAGGGTGATGGGTGGGCGGGATGGGATTGGTGTGTTTGCTGGAGATGCGAGTGATGATTTTGATGCTGGTGCAGGTGCTGAGGATGTGGAAGTGGAAGGTTTGTTGACGGATGTAGAAGAAGAGGATGATGACAAAGGAGGAGAGTAAAGAGGAACACTAGCGGCCCAGTCGTCGTCGAATAAGGGATCTTCGTCGAGTTCGGATTTAAGTCGAGGCACGCGCGCGTGTAAGAGCGCGAGATGCGTCGTGAGGGAAAGTAAAGGCAGAGGATACGACTGTGGTGGAGAGAGGAGGAGAATCTGTTTCCGTTAGCACAAATCGTTCAAGTTCAGATCGCAAATGTGTGTGCCTGTTGCAGTGTTGAGGGGGGGGGAAGGAATTGATGCATGATGCATCAAGTTCTTATGACAGAGAAAGGAAAAAGGCGGGAGATAGAGAAAGAAAGAGTGAACCATTATGACACAAGGAAAGGGGCCGTACATCAATATACAACTTCCAGTGAAACCGCGCATTTATACGTAATCTCCGAGGAAGCTCGCCCGAGGCAAGCAGGCCCTCATTCAGCATCGCCGACAGAAACACAGGCAGGGAATCATCGTCGCGGAACCCTGGAATCTCAATGCTCAGCTCGACCCAGGAATTCTCGCCCGCACTGACGTCGTCGTCCTTTGATACGTTGACGGTGTCATTGTCTCCTATTACACCCTACATTAGCCCTGCCGAATTTCATGTATCTCTACCAGGACGCGCGCGCTTATAACTCCAGAGAGTATCAATGATCCAAAGAATCTCAAGGGGTGTAAACTCACCCTCAACCTCTGCGTTGCCTGCTCGCCTGACAGCGCTCTTCTCCACCTCTGCCTTGACTCCGACGATCGCTTCGGTCCCGTCCGCAAAACATATCCGCGCACTTCCATTTGTGCCAGGAAGAATGTCGGTCTCGGCCACAAGCGGGCGGAACTGCGTTGTTGTTCGGCCGTCTGGTCGAATAGGCGGGGACAGTGACAGCGATGAATGCAGGTATGATAGTTCGGCGGGTGATAGGAGCGTTTGAACTGCTCCTACAGGCGCCATTTTGTGTGATACCTGTTATAAATCGGCGAATCTGTCGGCCGTATCCTCAATCAACGATTCCTTCAGACAAGGAGGTTCCTATGTCGTCAGAACAGCTTTCGGAGTAAAACACGATGCTGCGCCGCGGGAGAGATTTGGGAAGTGCGATTCAAAGTTGACAGGGAGTGCTACCCTGCACGAAGCCGTAAAAGAAATTGACGTTCCGCGTAGACAAATATAGTATCTTTTTCGACGCGCGAAAAGGTTTGACAGTTTGAAAGACGGCTATTGAATTCAAGCTCACTGTTTTTGGTCGGAAATATTGTCCAGTAAACTTTCTGGTGGTGAGGCTAACCCATGAAAACGGAAATTTGTTTCGCCGATGCGATCCGGTTTGTCGTGGTTTTAACTGTAGGACCTAGGCGAGCAGTTGCTTAAGGCAAGCTAACTATATCAACACTGCTCGCGGAGACCTCTAACTATACCTTACATACCTTTACATCACATAAAGTCTATTTCACGTTGCGCATATTGCCCAGCCCATGATATTTAATTGTCACAATCCTTAAACACAACATTGTGAATACAGCCAAGATAAGCAAGTCTGCTTCACAGTCTGCAGCACCTCCAGAGCTGCAGAAAAAAGCATTGGAAAACCATGTTCGATTTCATTGCCGTCCTGACAATCTATGACAGGGAAAAATTTAGGTTGTTTTTAAGCCAATTCAACTTGGCATTCAAAGCAAGCTATAATGACGGTTCAGAGTACATTAAGCAAAGACAACGGAAGGAGACTGAGGATAGATGAGAGGATATGTAGATGGGCTAGCTAGGTCCAGCCAGGAGAAGAAAACTATATTATGAAATAAGCAAAATATGTAATATAGCAATTGGTGACATCTGTGCAGATAAGCGCTAGTGGAGCAATCTTCCATTGAAAGGTAGTACCGTGGTATAAAGAAAAATATATAGAGACATGGTGTGATGGCAACGATGCCACTAGATACAGTCTATGTAGGAGATATATTTGCAAATGAACTGCAGTGTCGGTCAGACTCGCAGTAAATGATTGTGTGTGTGAGAGACTAGCAAAACAAGTAGCAACAATGAACAGGCCGTGCAACTCTAGATTTCGACCTTCCGGGGTATGAAGCTAAATAAAGAGCAAATGTCAATTTTTTCAACGCCGGGTACCCTCGTCCACCCCAGTGTCTTGAAATAAATGGTCAGAAATGACAAATTAAAGATTGTAATGTAAAAGAGAAGACAAAGGAAAAAGCCGACACATTCAAAGAGCGCTAATGCCGTGGTATAAATGTTATCACAAACGATTGTAACAAATCCAGACGTGCGCACCGCCAGTGATCTCTGGTCCAGCCAGAAGAGAGTCCACCGGATCAATGGCAAATATGACCAAAAAAAAAAACAAAGCAAATTGTAGCAGAGCCCAGCCATGAAAAGCTTCGCAAAGAGTGTGAGTATTACTGCTTTAAGGAGGCGCAGGGAAGCCTTTGGTATCAGTGCAAATGCGAAAAGAACAAAGGGAAACAAATGAGAGGGGCGGAAAGAGGAGAGTGGTAAAAGGATTTGAGGTGTGTGGGACATGCAACTGTGGACAAAGATTCAGGACAAAAAGTCTCAATCATTCATCGATAGGCCTCGGCTGCTGCCTGGATGCTCGCCGCTGCAGCTGCCCCCCACTCGTGTTCCTCATACGGCGGAGTTGCTAGATGAGAACCTCGCTGTGTCGTGCCACCAATATGGCCGAGATCAAATGGCTTGCTTGGGGTGTCAAGGGCCACCTGACCAAACTTGCTGTCTCGCTTGGCGGAATGAGAGGGAGTGGGATATGGGTTGACATAGGTTGCATGCAAGCCCCGAGGCTCATTTTCCTTGTTGCTGACCTTGTGATCATCCCGAATGTCGAGCCGCTTGACCGCCTGGCGCGCAGATGCCAACACCTCATCAAGCAGCTCTTCTTCTTCATCAGGAGTCTCATATCGCTGCATCGGCGACGTTGAAGCTTGGAGCGCCCGGCGTGGACGGGTAACCAGAGACCCAGGGTTTGTTGCTGCGGCTGCCAAATTGTCAACCGACTCTCGCTGGCTACGCAACGACGGCTGTCGTCGGACCGGAGTATTACTGCCACTTCCACCGCCAGGCTGTCGAAGAACTCCGCCAGGATAGCCAATGCTAGGGGACCGACTGGCATCAATGCTGTTACGACCACTCTGAAGAGCCTTCTCAGCCTCGCTGTAATCATTCTTGTGAGCTGGGCTCACCATTGGAGTGCGATCGAAATTTATCGAGGAACGATTGCTCCAAGGCGCGCATCCGGCACTTGCTTCGATGTCGTCAGCATTGGGAGACAGAGGGAGCTGATGACGCCCAGAGAGCCGTCGTGCCCGCTTGCGAAGGTGGGAGAAGAAGCTCTCTTTGGGAGCAACCGGGGGAGTAATAGCACCGCTACCATTTAATGCCCTTTCCGCGTCTTGACGACACGCTTCCGTGTAATTACTGTTGTTGTTGTTGTTGTAAGAAGCAACAGAGAGCTGTCTTCCAATCTTCTTCGCAGCTCGGTCATCAAACACAATACGGCGGTTGTCACCTGCTGGTGCGCCCTTGACTGTCCGGCCATTCGCCTGTGCAGTCGTTCCATCGGGCATGGGCGAAATGGGTTTAATTGAAGGTAGGATTGGAATTGGTGCGGCCTTGGAAGAAACGCCATTTGTCCAAGTAGCTCGTTTACTTGGGTGAGGCCGCGCTTTCGGAGAGCTTGCGTGTTCAGTCGAGACAGAGTGGACAGGTACAGGTCGGGCCGCAGCATGTTGCGCCACGGTCGGTTGTTGCGAAGCAGCATTGGGCTGATCTCGAATGATGAGCGACTTGCGAAACCACGACGGCTTCGAGGGAAGGGTGGGAGAGTAGTCCCCGAGGTCTCTAGAGGACCGATGACTAATGTCAGAGTGTTTGCGATTGAGGATTCGCGAAGCAGAAGATTTGGGTCGCAACGGATCTACTGCATCGGCAAAGTACTCATGGGCCAAGGCCTGAGTTGAGGTAGGACGGTTCTTGGGATCCCACATGAGGCACCACGAGACAAAATGGGCCAGAGCTGGCGGCCACTGAGGCGGCTGAATGATCGTGTCCATGGAATGGGGTGCCATCTATTCGTCATATGTGAGCCAAAAATTTCCTCGGGAGAACCAACAAAGAGGGGAGGGGGAGAAAGACAAAGAAAGGACTGGGCCGCAAAAAGAAGAATCAACTACAACTAACCTTGGGGAAGGCAAAGCCAAGCTTTTGCGCCAGCCGTGTGCCGTCTCTCCATTCGCCGCCACCAACTCTCTGGCCAGCTTTGTTATACCAGTTTCCTGGGCTACCCATGATTTCACAAACCCTCCAGACTTGGTCTACCTCGTTGCTTCCGGGAAACAGCGGCTTCAGTGTAGCAATTTCAACCGCCATGGCGCCCATAGCCCAGATATCGACCGGCGCAGAGTATTCGCCAGCGCGGAGAAGAACCTCGGGGGCACGATACCAACGGGTGGAGACATAGGTGGTGTAGGGCAACCTCGATTGGGTTTCGCGAGCCAAGCCAAAGTCTGCGATCTTGACAGTGTACATGGGCGGAGTTGATGGTGGCGTGATAAGGGCCGAGTAGCGTCGAAAAGTGGCTCCCGCCTCTTGAGGAGCTGACGTTGAGACGAGAATATTCTCCGGCTTAATGTCTCGGTGAAAGAAGTTGTGGGCGTGAATATGCTCCAATCCACCAAGAATCTGAAAGAGGATGCTCTTAACTGTAGCACCATCGAAGCACTTGTGATCCCTCGACTTCATCAGCTGATACAAGTTGCCATCCATGTACTCCATGGCAATGTGAAGCTTCTTGCTCAGTGGGTCTAGGAAAATGTCCAGAGCAGGCACAAGATGAACATGTGCCGGTAAAGTGCGCAGAAAGATGACCTCCCGAAGCTCCAGGCAGGGAGAAAAAGACTCAAACGTCTTCTTCATCGTTTTGATCGCAACCTGTACTACCATCAGTCCCCCACTTCTACAGCATATTAGAGATTTTGCCTGAACCTACCAAAGTACCTCTTCTCGCAACATGAGCGCCAGCGCTCCGTGTTCGAGCTAGAACAACACTGCCAAAGCTGCCATCTCCAATATCCTTGAGGACTTCAAATTTGTCTTCAAGGCAGAGTGCACCAGGATTAGGCGCTGAGCCCCGATTGACGAAGTCGTAGGCGACCGGCATGTTGATTAGTTTTGAAAGGGAGAAGTATGTTCCGCCTCCTTGCAGATTGTGATGAAATATAACGAGTGACGTGGAGAGACTTTAGCAAGGCAGAAAGATGACGAAAAAGGACAAAATGAAAGAAGCACGCTTATGATCACGCTGTGAAAGTCAGTACTAGTGATTGAGATTGAGTTGATGAGATGAGGGCGTAAAGGCTAGACGCACAGAATTTATCGTGATTAAGCGGTCAATGTCGACATGGATGACAAGCCGTATGACATGCCAGATCGATTGTTCTAAAACCCAGGTGGACAGATATATGGCCTTGAGCTATTGAACCGGGGAATGTCGACTAAGATGCTTGACCGAGTTGTCTCTTATATAAATTGGTCTGGTCTCAAAAGACACAGAGGGCGTGATAAGGACGTATGAGGAGAAGGATCAAGGAGATGGAAGCAGAAAAAGGAAGAGTCTGGAGACGAGAGAGAATGACAGACAGTTGGAGGGGAGAGTTGGGGTTGTAAACGAATGAATGTTGTGAAAGATGTGGAGTTGGTGTCTCCGAGGTGCGGATAGAGAAAAGAGAAAGGGAGAGAGAGAGCGAGGAACGAGAGCTATGTGTTGTCGATAGTCGACTAGCGTAGAGGTCCAATGCACCGGATTTGCAGGACAGGGAGAGTCTGAGTCGTCGAGATGAGACTAAAAGGAGCTTCAGGGACGAGAAGACCAGGGGAGCTTTGAAGTTTGGGACGACACTATCCACCCTTAGTTGCTCTCGGTTCGAATCGCGCGGGCCGATCGGGTCCGGTGGTAGTAAGAAGAGGAGCCGGAGGGGGGGAAAGAGGTGAGAGAGAAGGGGGGGACAAGAGAAGAAGAGGAGGAGGAAGCCCAGCAACGGGCAAGTGATGGCGGCGCTGAGCGTTGGTCTTCGATATGGGTCGGCACTGTGACGGAGGTTTGTGGGCTTATGGTGGTCGTTGGTGGTCGGATGCGTTCCACCGCCAGGGAAGACGATGACACCAAGGAGCAAGCGATTGAGCGAGAGGGGGGTAGAGAGACCCGGGAAAACACCAAAAGGAAAACCCCGACGAGGAGGAGGATGAGTGGAGAACAAAAGGGGGCCCAAAGGAGACCCAAAAGAGACGGCAGCCGGAGTTGAAGCTATGGTGGACCCGGTCGCGTGGTGACGACGATCGTCAGTGCGAGACTTTCCAGAAAAGCAAAAGAATTACTAGGGAGTCGGTCCCATTCGGATTGAGGGTGGTGGCCCGGCTTGTCCTTCTCTTCCTTGTCGTGCTTAATCGATCGTCGACTGTGGCTTTTGTCGATATTAAGGAAGGGGCATCAGGGAAACCCAAATCTCGGATCTGGAGGAAAGTCAAATGGTGGTGGACCCACCAAAATAGAGTGTGAGACAGGAGACAGACGATGCGCACGAGGCGACGCACGAGGCGAACGATGCGAAATTGAGGATTCGGTCTCGTAGTAATGCAGGGGACAAGAGAGGCTGTGAAACGACAGCGACAAAATGAGAGTTTCGGCACGGATGCTGGAGAGGAGAGAGAGAGAGAGAGAGAGAGAGGCAGATATGGGAGTGTATATAGTAACGCTAGGCGATATAGGCGCAGAACTTTCACAGATGATGGGGTAAAACTAATAATGCTCTTCTTTTTCTGTCTCTGGCTCTCGATTCTTGCAGACGGTGCGAATTTGAGAGACCAGCATGAGAGAGCTAGGAAGAGAGCGACAGAAAAAGCGGCGGTGTATCATCAATAGCTTTTCCTTCAGAGCAGCAAAAGCAGCAGCAACAACAATGGTAATATTGATGTGATGCGCTTGACACGCGCTTCTTTTGTGCCAGCTCACGCTCAATAGCACTCTCCTCGTGCATGGCCCGGCCTGGTGTGTGCAGAGTCTCTTTTGGTTTCCCCCACGACTGCCGATTAAACGTGTCAGGGGTTCACGCGTGTGTGTAAGTGTGCGTGTATGGGCAAGAGAGGTACGCGCAGATAGAGAGATAGAGGAGGTGGGAAATACACAGAGTACTGTGCTGTACAGTAGCCGCGAATACAGTAATCTGTAGGGTCCAGCGACCGCTTCAGGGCTGCATCGGATCCAACGCCACGATGTGGGCGAATGGCAATGGATTGAAGGGGCCGGGGTGGGTGGGAGAGAAGAGCAGAGGCAGCAAATAAGAAAAAGTGGGGTCCCGGCGACTTTGCCGGAGAAACACGCAGTGCTCCCTCTCTCTTGAAATTTCTATGAGCAAATGGCAAACAGGCGACACCAACGACAGGATGACGACTTTGTCAGAGAGGCTGAGCGGTGAACGAATAGAGAGGGTCGGTGAGATGAATAGGAAAGGGGGGAAAGTATTGCTTCAACGGTGGAAAGAGAGATGAGCACACCAGAGGTTCAACGAGATCCGTCAGCCATCATCAGCTTGATGAGCGGGGATACCCATTGCATGGCACCAGGCCCGGCGTGCGGGCTACCGACACGGCGTGAAGCTTACTGGACAAGTGAAAGGCGGGTGGGCCGGGAGAGCAACAGAACCAGGGGGTTCCCTCTTTCAAACAATAAGAAGACGACGGGTCAGCCATGGCGGGCAGACTAAAAAGAGACGATGTGCTAGTCGGCTCGTGCTGTGGGTTACGGTACAAGTCCCGTTGTCAGGAGGGAAATGGACGACGACAGGTAGACAACTGACAGTGGGCGAACCATGGGTCCATTTCCGTCGTGGCTGGCGGGACGAGACGAGATTATTTCACTTCAGGATTTAGCCCGCTTTCGGTTGTCGGGTACAGGACTCCGTAATCTTACCCTACTCTCATCTGTTTGCCTTTGCTTCGCACAGCGCAAACGGGCGCTACAAGGATAATTCGGAAAATAATTTAATATCATATTACCATGACTCGTGCTGAATGACCGGAAATGAGGAGTCCAAATCATTCCGGGCTCCGCATGTTTTGATTTTATTTCTTCTCCCATTTGTTTCTTTTTTGGCGTTGCCACGTCCCAAGCTGCTGGGTAGAATATTCAGCAGACGGAAGCATCAGGAACCGCGGAGCCCATCAGTGAGACACCCATCCACACTGACTAGATGTTATTACCTACCTAGTATGCAGTAAAGTGCAGTATAGTACAGTAGATCTGATACTTGTTCAAAATCCCCACCGCAATGGCTCTGACAAGTCGCTTGGGTCAGGGGACATACCAGGAGAGGACGCTATTCCTTCACTAACTGCACCCTTGACAGGTCAAGTACGCCCAAACTTCCACTCGCGTGGGCATCTACCGGCGCTTTCGACCAACGTGGAAAGGAGCTCCAAGACAATTGACGCCCCTCTTTTCTCTCTTTCCCCATCTGCCATTGCCTTTGACTGCATCGGGATTCGATTTTGCTCTGACAATAATATTTTGGAAAAGAAACCCGAGACATGAGCTATATTGCATTTCCCAAAAGGTGTCAATTCCGTTTTTTGGAAGCTGCTGAGAATGATTTTTGTGATTTTGGTGGTAAATTGGATCCTTTACAGTCCTCTGCACTTACTCCGAGTACCTACCTAAGCAATTGACGTCTGAGGCGGATCCGCGCCGAAACGGAATCAAACATGGTCCTCGATTACAGAATACTGTACCCATTACACCAGGAGCACCCTGTGTTTCTCGCCAAGTCTGGCAGGTACTGTGCCTTGCATGAATGCCGTATCCAGAAAGCAATAAATGAAAGAGAAAGAGAAGAGAAGGTGTTTCCAAGTTTCTGGTTCTGCTGCTTCGCCTCTCGCACCTCAAGCGGTGGCGTTGATGAGCAATGGAACACATGTGCCGTGAAGTACGTACTGTACTCTATTTCATATTAAAATGTACATGGGCCGGATCCATTGGGCCCTAAAGGCCTTTCTTCGGCCTCTCGTGTGTTGAGGACTTTGGAGCCCCGGGCAGTCGGAGGAGATGAGGGCAAAACAAGGAAGGGGCAAACCCAGTCTGTTGGCCCCGAGTGATCCACGTTGCCGTACCTGACCCGAATTGGGAAGGGGGCGGCCAAGCGACCGCCCATCTCCTCATCTTGCTTTCTCCTACCACCCTGTCACATGCTGCTTGGTGCTCGGGGAACGACGGCTACCCAACGGCTTGACATTAGCCTCTTTGAGCGGCTTTCCTATCGGAGTAGGCCTCCATTTTGCTATTTCGTGAGCCAAACTTGAAAGAGGAAAGAAAACAAATGCTGTCTCTGGTGCACAAGCAAAACAAATGATCAGCAGGGGCCGAAGGGGGTGAGCGAAATCCGTTTCGCTTTCTGCTCGCTCGTTTCGGTGTTTGCCGAATCCTCCTTGTACAAGCGAAAGGCCTGGCAGAATCCAGTGCCAGCTAACAACCAGTAACTTGTGCGAGGTACTCCAAAATCCAAGTCGCTCAACCAAGAAAAATTATTGCACTTTGTCATTTCAGACACCTTTTTTCCGCCCGATGAGACATTGAGACGTAATTTGCTTGAGTGGCTGTTTCCAGCTTGCCCAACGAACACAATGATAGATAGGTCATCAAAGCTTCTATGCTCAACTCCGTAAGCGCTCGGATTCTTTTCGGGTCTAGATAGTGCTTTCTATCACTACCGCTTACTAGGATCTATATCCATGAGAACACTCACCAAGAGCTAATGAGTGAATGCATACCAGCTAGGTCCATGTAACGACACTTGGTCATTATATGCCGTAGCCTTATTATCATGTAGAGTAAATGCGCTACACAGAAGTCGATGCGAATATCCGCTCTTCACAATGTTCCTAATGTGACAACCTCTGGAAACTTCTTTTGCGCTCATCAATCTACTTCCCGCAATTCTATGTTGCACTTTCATCATGAAGAGTGCGAGTAAAAGATATGCTCATCTCTCCAATTTCTTCATACACTGGCCAAGGTATTCTCTGCAATGACTTGCTCCATACTTTAGCAAGCATCTGTCGTTTGCAACGGCAATAGTATCAGGTAACTGCAGCGAGATGTGAGCTCGCCAAACCGATCGGGCAAGAGCCTTCCGTCGGTGAACGTGAACTGGCGCGCAACAACGCGTCTCTCCAGGGTTGGAAGATAATTTTGACATTCAATAAATACAGCTTCACGATTCACTTTCATGCGAGCTGCTATTCATGCACATGATCCTCACCCTTTACTCGTGTGGCTGTCAGGATATCAAAAGCTTCGAACTTTTTTTTTTTTTTCCATCACCAGATTCAATCGTACTCCATTGAGAAACCAGTTACCAAGCTCGGGGCGAGAGTTTAAAAAAAAGCAATTTCGCGTGACACTCTGTGGGGCGAAAAGATCTCCTCGAAATACAGACAGAATGGCTCCCAAGTCCGCTTTTGCGGGTGGCTACAATGAAGCAACAGCTAAAAAGTGAGTTAGGATTCTGGCTTGGACGATGGCACTGTTACAGAGTGTTTACAATTGCGATGGTTGGATTCTAAGGGAAATGCTAACATACTCTAAAAGGCTCGAGAAGATCCATCTTCCTGACAAGTATGTTCAAATAGCCCAGAAGCCGTGAGTCTTCTCTAAGACGAATGTGCAGGATCAAATGCAAAGGTTGTGGCAAGTTTCGAATGAAATCGGCGTACTCCAAAAAGCAGCTCAATGATCTACGTCACAAAATTTATGTTGTTGGGGAGCTATCAGCTACGGTTGCAGGGCAAATCAAATGCAGAACTTGCACTGGTCAGCAAGTAAATGAGCTCACTTGCACCATTTGCGATGAAGTTAAGGGTCTTGAAGGCTTTAGTAAAGTCCAGCGCCGCGACCCAGACAAAGCTGTATGCCTTTTCGTCCTTGTATAATCCTTTTTTAGAACCATTGACTGATGCTGCAATTTGTTTTAGCGATGCCTTACGTGCGTCAATGTCCAAGGGGAGATGGAGGCTGGCTTGGAGCTTGGAGACGAGGACGACTTCTCGGACTCTTCTAGCAATCCATTTGATTCAGATGAGGTGAGTGGCGTTCGGATACCCTCGTCAAAATTCTTCTTCACATGTGCTCAATTGTTCCGCAGGACGACTATTTTGATTCAGAGATTGCCGCTCCTATTCCAGGCATGAGGAATTTGTCGCTCTCCAAGTCTTCCACCCATGCTTCTGTCTCCGGCATCTCTGACAGAAGTGGATATGTGTCCCGTTCGGAGAATATGCCGCCATCTAGATCAAATTTGAGCCCGTCCATTGCCGGGGGTGTCTCAGTCAAAAGTTCTGGAAGCAGCCAGCAAGACGAAGAGAACGCGAGTGGATGGCAAGAAGTTCCCCGCAGCGCACTCACTACGCGCACCCAGCAAGGCATTCCATTCACCGGCTACGATGCGCAGGGGCGTGGTCATGCGCGTGTACGCCCTCCGTCCACGGTCAGTGAGCGCTCTTCTAGGTCGGGTACTTCAACTACGAGCCGTCAGTCCGCAGTTCGCCAGTCCACAGTTAGCAATAACCGCGGCTTCGCAAAGGTCAAGGCAAGTGCCATTTTTCTCTTGACTGGTGCCCACAAAATTTTTAATTGCTTACGATTCAATAGGCTAAGCCCCGCAAAACCTTGTTGCAGCAGTACGAGATGGATGAGGAGGACGATGATGATCCCAGCGTCAGTACCTCCGTATACGGCCAGACCAAGTCTAAGCCTATTGCTCTGGACAGTGATGATGAAGATGAAGACGACGATGTGCGCGAGTGGTAGGCATTCATCGCTAGAAGATCCGTGGCAAAGACAACATTGGGCAACTTATTCGGCGCTGATGATTATGACCTGAGACGGCTTATGATTCTGAAAATACCACTTGGACTTTTTTACTTTCTTTACGCTTCTAGCAATGCTTAAAAATATTGGTTTTGCCATCTGTGACTTTCCGTGGATTCGCTGACATTCGTTGCCTGGTATCGTGCAACTCGTTCCACCCTGATCCAAGGCAAAGAGACAAGATACATGCGGCCGTGATCTTCTCTCTTGATAAGTCCGAAGGCTCATTTTTGTTGAATTTGTACAGCAAAGGCCAATTTTCTCTCTTCATGTCCCGTTCCCATCCACTTTAACTACTCCGGTATAGCTGATGCTCCGCCTGGCTCCATGGCAGCGTCAAGGAATTGGTACGCCGAGGTCCCTCAAAAACTGGAGACGATCGGAAGACGGGAAGGTACGACAGAGCTACTTTAATGTCAGCACGAGGGTAAGACTGCGGTACCTTTTATCCCCATAATTATCGCCTTGAAAAGCTGTTTCTGATGCCCCACGTGCAACGCTGATGTAAGTTTCTCAAAGTACCTCGCTACCTTCGCTTTCCATGGTTCGTCCTCCTTGTGCGGACCCCAGTTGCCTGTTGAGGAAGAGACCAATGAGACCCTGAACCAAAATGAATTCGCCTTAATCAACGTCATGGCCCGCACAAGCTGCACAAGTTCAACGGGCCCATGACGATCATCGGACCAGCCTGTTTCCCGTTGCCATGTCTTGGTAAATGCAACCTCGATGGAACTCTCACGGCCAAGCCATCTTCTCCCCTCTGAAGATCGTTATTTCTCTTCGTCTGTTGATCTGAGTTCTCGCATGACTAACCGTTTCCTAACCTTGTTTCCCCCTCCTTCAAGTCTCAGAACCGCCAAGGTAAGCGTGTAATGGGATAATTTATCTGACAAAAGAGTTTCTATTCTCCAGTGGCGGGATCGAGAATTATGGCAGCCTAAAATTGGTAAGGAAATCACTAATCTAATTTGGTTTGGACAGGCCAATAATGGCTGTTCAATTCATGACCGCCTTGCCGCGTCTCAGGTCTCTGAACATAGGGTCCTTGTGCATTCCCATATCATGTCTAATGACCTGCCTCTTTCGAACCCCACCACTGAATCAATGTTATGCTCACTGTTTCTGGACGTTTATGGCTACCGCCATCGGCTTCTTTGGTGGTTTGACCAGAGCGAGGTTACTCGTCTAAAGCGGTGACAAGGCATTCATGGATCCTCCGTGGGTCCGCATCTCGGCCCAAAGATTCGGAACAACACTCGTGTAGATACTCGTTGAGGTTCAGCTTGCGACGGCCAAGACGACCGGAACGAGCAGAAACGAGAGAATGACGGACATTCTCGAGTTTTATTTGTTCTTGATGAGTCTTTATTAATGTGCGTATTTCATAAGCCGTCAATTTTGCTTCTATAGGAAAATGTCCCCTGGCCATGAATTACGTAGCTTTAGGGTTGGGTCATGCAGGGCGAGCGATAGGAAATGATTATGGGGGAAATGGCAACCACGAATAAAATTCATGTTCACGTAAAACCCTCGTTTCTACCTGTAAGAACGATAAAAGGTCTTTTCTTTCTCTCTCAATTTGAAGTATCATCCGACTGTCCCTTTATGGATTGCTGGGCCTTAGAGGGAAAGCCCCCGTCTTACGCTCGTCATCCCTCGCCGCCGCCTGACTCGTCTGCTCATCATTGACCAAACGGTACTCTTTCCCGCCTTCCCCCCCCTACAACGGAAGTAACTCAGCTGCAGTGACTACCTATTGTTCTGTCGGTAGTCATCATTCTTCCATCTGAAGCTTAACTTAGTCTTCTGCTGCAGATGACACTTGCATGCAGCTCTGAGCCCTTGACATTTTACCATTTTGCTTTGACAAGGCTGAGAAAACAACGACATTTGCACCCCTCACCCGTTGGATCTGCTGCGCCTTCTAACCTTCGAGAGACTTTTCTCAATCAAAATTATTCCCTTGAGACCCCGCTTCCTTAGGCGCTTTCATCCGTCCTGCCACAGGGCTAAGGCAGGACGCAGATAAATACCCACCTTCCAGCCATGGCCTACGATGGATATCGAAACCCGCCGCCTCCGCCGTCGTCGATGAGCCCCATGAGCTCGCAAAGCTACGCCTACGATTATTCGGACCCACGCTCCTCCTACGCTTCCTTGCACCCAAATCAGTACATGCCCGAGCCTCGAGCGCCGCCATCGTCACGGTCTCGCGCATCGTCTTCGGTTCGTGCTGATGCAAGACCATCGCCTGAGAGTGTTCGCTATGCACCTCACCCTGCGGGAGTCCCAGACGGCTCAACTACGAACTTCAACACGAATCTCTCTGATTATCCTCCAGAACTTGTCAGCCACATCACACAGCAAGTCACCGAGGACGTGCTGAAGCGACTCTCGACGACGAATGTTCGAGACAACGGCTCTTCGTCTTACAGCCAAGCCCCGCCTCCGCCCCCACCTCCACCAAAGATCCCAACGCCTTCCAATTCTTCTTCTCCGTCTGTCCCACCTCGAAACGTTTACACCCCACCTTCACCGCCTCCTCGAGCTGAATATCCTCCCTTTGGCTCACCTACGACCTCACAGACCACAAACATGTCAGCGTCGCAGTCCAGTCCCAAGGATATTCCTTCGGCCAGGTTCACTGAGCGACGAACAAGCCCACGGCAGAATGTAGAATCCGGCTATACCCGGCCGTCGAAGCCTGCAAGCGCGCCGGTACCAGTCGGCGAGGAGACTACATTGGAAAAAATCTGGGGTCGTTTATTTGACGAAGCCGGCCACCCAACCGCCAGACTAGGGGAGTTTTTACGAGGATTGGCGGTACACTTGGTATGTGTGTCCTTCTTTATGTTTTCCGCAATCAAAGGCGGACATCAACATCGGGAGTCACAAATACTCCATCAAGAAGAAAACTGATGCTGATATTTATGTGTCGCCAGATTGAGGATTATGAGCCCAAGAAGAGTCTCGTCGTTACTCCGGTCAAGATGGCCAAGTTCTATGATGCAGTGCAGCTCAAGGATGACGTCTTCAACTGGCAGAGTAAGCATAAACCTGAATTCTGCAGATAGTTCTGTAGTTGCAGGAGACTGATTTAATATGTCGTACGCGCTAGTGATCTTCCAGAAGATGTCGAACTCAGATATATCGCATCTATACCGGGATCTTGGTTGTCAGCACCATCTCGTACAAGAGCGACATGATGAGGCACCCCATGTACCAGGCCTCACACCTCACGGCTTCGAGCGTTGGATGACTTTATTGATTCAAGTACAGCCAGACGATGAGCATGAGCGCTTGGCCAAAGCTGTGCTCAATATGCCCATCAGCAATGCAGATAAGCCGACGGAGAGGTTCCCTAAGGAGATCTCACGCCGCTTATTTCCGGCTGAGCCTGATCCTCAGACGAGGGATCGCTTTGAGCGGACCGTCAAAATTAACAGCGAGTCGTCTCGGGCGCCGCCAAAGGGATCATCGAGCTATGAATCACCATTACCACCACCACCACCTCGAACATCTGGCGAACCAAAAGTAAAACCAGTTCCTCCGCCGCCATCTACCATGCCTCCTGGGTTTGAAGAGCGCGAGCGAAAGCCCTATGGCAAGACCCCGGCCACTACCAGCCTCTCCTCGGCGCCCGTTTTCGAGACGTCAATTGACGGTAACGAGACCGATGCACCGGAGCAGCTAGCACAGCCGCTTGAGCGGGAACGGAAGCCATATAGCGCAGCCCCAGGCGGCGGTAAATTGTACGATGACACGATCAAGTCCCGACCTGGACGGGCAAATTCGACCAGTAGTAAGACTCGACCCGTGCCCATAAACACTAGTGGCGGAAGAGCAGGGGAAGTTCCCATTCCTGAAGCCCCTCCGGCACGCAATTCGACAAGCGCACATCCTCCACATCTGGGAGGAGGACAACGTCGTCCACGTACGCCCTCAATTGGAACTCATGATTACCGCCATTCCGAGGGTGACCTACTTGGGTACCAAGCAACGGTGCCCTTTGATTTGGATGAAGACAACAGGCGGTATGCGCGCGAGGCGGAACGGCGTAACAATGAATGGGCGCGAAAGCAAGCGGAAGAGGAAGCGCGTATATACGAAAGCCCACGGGACCGCGAACGGTATGACCGCGCGAGCGACTTCGGCCCGCGAAGGGGTTATGAAGATGATTGGTATCGTGGTGCAAGTGGTGGCCGGGGCAGTGGCAGTGGCAGTGGCTACGAATACTCTGCACCCTATCCTCCATCGTACCGTTGATATTTCTCAAAGCGGCCTAGGTCGAGTGATTTTGTATATGTTCAGCGGTCAAGGGCGATTAACCAGTTTTCCTTTATTAAGGTCCTTCATTGGACTCTGACGAGCTATTTCTCCGTTGGCGATGGTTATGATGATATGAAACATGGCGTTTAATGAATTTTTGCTCCTTCCTCTTTTCCCTTTGATATTCGTCCTCGTCGTCTTTGTCCCTTATTCATCTGGTGTTGATGCAAGGTCGATCATTGCTGGTTCAAGTCTCGGGGGCATTGGGCAAGTACATGGGACATACGGAACAGATTATCATATCTTATACCATTGCATTGACTATCGATATTTTAAGACCATGATTATCGTGTGTTAGAAGCTGTCTTCTGATCATTTTCGGCGAAATATATGCGTGACGAGTGAAACTTTTGGAGATGTGGCGTGTGCTTGCTCCGATGTCGTTGCGGTCGGCAAGTCCCGGGGACTGCACGCTCACCTGAGCGAAAAAGTACTGTATGAGCAAGTCGAGTCGGATTTTGCGGCCGAGATTGACCGACTAGAAGACACCAGAGAGAACAAGCAATAAGTTACAAGTGACTTGGGAGCTCCGAAAACGAAAGATTCAACTTTCTCTTCGGACCACACGCACAATCTTTTCCCTTCCTCTTCGCCACGTTCAACTCAACCTTCCATCTCTTTCTCATTCCACTTCTTCTCTGGGTATATTCCATTGAAGAGATTCTTAAACCCTTTATAACTTATCCCCTGAAGCCTTTTCGGTTTGACGACTTTTCGTGTCACGCGCACGCCTGATTAACTAGACCTATCGAACCTATTCGGCATCATGTTCCAGCGCACTATCCTCCGCCAGTCCCGCGCATTCGCTGCGCAAGCTGCTCGTTCAGTTTCCACATCTTCCTCCTCGTCGCCTGCTCTTCAGAGCCAGTTCAATGCCTGCAGAGCGGCCTCTGCCCGTGCAGTGAACGCCAATCTCCGTTCGAGAGGCCTGCTATCAGCTTCCAAGGCGAGATGCTACTCTAGCACAGCTGCAGAGAGCGAGAAGAAGGAAGAGGGCAAAAAGGAAGAGAAGACGGAAGAGGAAGATCCTGTGAAGAAGGAGCTGGAGGCTAAGAAGAAGGAGCTGGAGGCTAAGAAGAAGGAGGCTTCGGAATTGAAGGTATTGTGCTTCTGGGCCGTTGACCTGCTTTCTACGCTGCAAATTGTACATTTTTAATCCTTGAGGGCTAACGTATAATAGGACCGCTATCTCCGCTCTGTCGCCGAATTTCAGAACCTGCAGGAGCGCACGAAGCGCGACATTCAAGCCGCCAAGGACTTTGCCATTCAAAAGTTCGCCAACGACCTCCTGGACACTGTGGACAATCTGGACCGCGCCTTGGGAACTGTCCCTCTTGACAAGCTGGCTTCGAGTGAGGACGCCAAGAAGGAGAATCATGAGCTGCTCACTCTCCACGACGGCATCAAAATGACTGAGCATATCTTCATCCAGACGCTCAAGAAGCACGGCCTTGAGCGCTTCGACCCGGAGAATGAGCGCTTCGATCCCAACCTCCACGAGGCCACTTTCATGACCCCTATGCCGGGTAAGGAAGATGGCACCGTCATGTTTACCCAGCAAAAGGGTTTCCTTTTGAACGGAAGAGTCGTCAGGGTGAGTGCTCGTTCTCGGCTCCAATGCCTTTTTCTCCCTCCTTTTTTTCTTCTTTCGTGAGTTTTGCTCGTAGTGGTCTGGCTATCGGGCGATGCTGCAGAAAGGATTTCAACTCTATGCTATGGAAGGCGAACGAATGCTAATGGAATTGATCGAATAGCCCGCCAAGGTCGGCGTCGTCAAAAACGGATCTACTTAAATTCAAAAACGGCCTCCTGGATCCGATATGACGGCACGTGAGCACCAGCATGTGCCGGCCCTACCAGAATAGAATTTCCCATCTCCTCTCTGCTCAGCTGGTCCTCGCGACCTTACTTTATCCACGCATCTTCCTCGCCATGTCGCTTCTCCCAATCGACGCACAAAACACCTCACGATACAGTCTAAACTCAACCTTTTGTTCTCTTCTCTTTCGTCTACTTCAAATATCCGAGTCTCATGCAAATTACCTTATCCTCTTTTCGCATCTTTTCCTTACCGTTGCTGATCAGCGACTTTTAAAGTCGGCGGCAACGACATGTTAGGCAAGATGGGAATCGAATTCTACCTGTCTTCATGGCTATTGGATTTTCTTTTCGTCCAATTCCGAAATTGTTTTATTACATCACAATGAGTTTGAGTTCTAGTCCCACGGCACTATAATCTTCCGGGTCATCTAAAATTAGTCTACCTGTTATGCATTTGGTATCAACATCAAAGTCGGGTTATGATTTATGGTATGGTCCTGTATGGTACGGTTGGATATTGAGCTCTTGCTTTGTATTTAAAGAGCGAGCGAATAAAGCCGGAAAGATCATTTACTTCTGTTCTTCTTTTCTTTCCTCTTTCCTTTTACCCTTGGTTTCGGCTTTCGGGGAGGTTGCTGCTGTTTTGTTCAAACAAAAGAAAAGGCTTGTCTGGTGTTCGTCTCATTTTGTATGATACTATAGGGCACTGTTGGGTGTAACGTCACTGTACATACCGTGCTGCTTTTGTACTGTATGTACTGTACTGTATTATAGACTGTCTCTTTTTTCTTCTTCCATTCTGGTGTTGATTCTCCGTGCATCTGTGGGCCAGTCTCTGCTTCATTCGGGTGTTGTGTCTCTGCTCCATTTATCTGTGCAATATTTCCTCTGCCGCTTCGATCTGAGTTATGAGAGAGAGCATCTATTTGTGATATTGGCCGGTATTGATTAATTATATTTATCTGTGCGTGGGTGCCAACGCAACAATTCTTGAAAAATTTTCCAACGGTACCGGAATCAAAAAAGGGATAGTTCATCAGATATAGATTAATGTTGAAGGGAATAGTACTGAGCATACTCTGTAGTGTTGAATCTAAACATGCCGCGTCTCCTCATCTGCATAAACTGAGAGTACTGGGATGTGCACACAAGGTCTATCCACCTCCCCGTGACAACCCTTCATGTGCAACATTCAACAACTCCACAGATCCGCACCCTTAGTCTTGTCGGGCACAAACACCTTTTTCTCTCCGCCAAACCCCACAGACCTCCCACTCTAATGGCGGCCTCACGAACAGCCTCAATGGCTTCCGCACGCGTATTCGTATCCATTCCGCGCTTCCTCTTGCCGCGAGGCGTTGTGCCAGTTCGGCCATCCTCATTGTCGTCTGCTTCTCCGCAGCAACAGCTCATTCGACATTCGGGCTTCTCTCGCGGCTATGCATCGTCTCGAGCACGAGCTACACCGTCGTCGTCGTCGTCGGGGTCCTCTGGTTCTTCTTCGTCGTCGAGCGGTAACAACCAGCGACTGCTGGAGAAACCTACACGCTTCAACCCGCCGTCCCATCCCGCGCGGCTGCCGTCCCGACGCTCAATGCCTCGATCATACCCCGGTCCGCCATTGAGCGCAGGCGAACAGCAGGCTCAACAGACGCGCAAGTATCCGCATATGATGCCCACTGAGGGCACGTTCATGCATTGGTTCTTGACGAATCAGTTGCTTCATCTCTGGATTACACTGGTTAGTACCCTTTAGACTATGCTTCGTCTCCTGCATATATCTATAAATATCGAAGACGGGTTATCGGGCATAATTAGCGGCACTTCCACTGACACTATTCAGGGCACACTCCTCTCCCTCGCATTCTTCACGTTCATGTCGAATTTCAAAGAAAGGTCTCCATATGCAGACTTGCTCCCCGCGGGCCGAGAGTACTTTTCCCACCCGTTGCAAACCATGGGCCGTTTGCTTGAAATATACAAGCTCCAAATGGCGTATAATACTGAGAAATCTGTTGCACGCCGCGAGGCTATCAGCGAGGACGCCTACAAACGCAGCGAATACCTCAAGGCGCATGGTCTCGAGAACGAAGGCCGTTTCGGCGGATGGTCAGCAAGAGAGGACAGGAGGCCAGCGTCGTTGAAACCGCTTTCTTCATCTTCGGATCCTGAAGCTGCAGCTGCAGCATCTGCCCCGGCAGCCGAAGCAGAAGCTACAGCGGACGAGTCCAAGCCCTGGCGGTGGTCGCGCTTGATTGGAGGTGTTAAAACGGGAGGAGAAGGAGAAGGACAGGCTCCTCAAGCTCCTACACGTACGGCTACGGCTGTTTCTGATGGTGGCGACGAGAATTCCCCGGCTGCCCCCGTCACACCAGAGGACAACACCCCACGTGAACTGACGCCCGAAGAAAAGAAAGCTGCAGAAGATGCGCTTATCAAGGCCCAAGAGGAGGAAGAAGATCGCCGCATCGCATTGAGCATTTGGGGGAGGAAGCAGTAGTCTCTCCTCATGATCAATCATCCTCCGTCTCTTTCTTTGTCGTCCTATCATTCTTTCATACTATCATTAACCTCTGGTCTCTTGTCATTCTGTCGTCCATCATGTATTATGAAAGATAGCTTTCATTATGTATCATATGCACAGTCAGTAGAATTTCTAGCATCCATCGTGTTCGTTTATACATTGTATGCAGTCTACCTCTCATTGCCTCATTGCATTTTTAACTAGGGTGGCGGCGGCGGCGGCGGCGGCGATTGTGGTGGTAGATGAATTAGAATCTGTACGTTTTATTGGTCTATGTATAACTACCTTATATGTCTGATTACCTGTCATCCAACTGCTATATTACTTGATGTTTTTGTCTCATATCTTTTGTTTGTCTTTTTATCTTTTATCTTTTGTCTTTTTGTCGTCTTTTGTCCCTTAGCTCTAATCTCCCTGTCCTCTTTGACGAAACCCGGCTTCGTGAAACTGTGGAGCTTGTGGAGGCTGTAATATTGACAGGATTTCGTATGAGAAGGTGACAATCAAGCAAAGTATCCGAATGATCCTACCACGGATATTCCTACACTCAATCAATTAACCTCTGCACTCGGGCCAAATCATAAAAGCTCATAACCAGGTTGAAGTTGGACGTATGGACGGATGGACGGATGGACGTACCTTGCCTTCCCACGTCCAAAACGTGCCGCTGTGCGCTGTCCTTTTTGTAGGTATGACGCGGAGCATGCCAGCGACGGATTCGGCGGGGGTGATGATTCCTTCGACGTCCCAGTCTAGAGAGACGTTTGCCATGTCTCTTTATTAATGTTGGTAATTCTTGTCCTTTTTGTATGAAATATATATATATACACTGTATGAAGAGTGATGGAGTTGGGGGAATAGGGCAAGGACAAGAGCAAAAACAGAGCAAAATGGAAAGGAATAGAGAGGTAGCTACTCACGTGGATACTTCACCGGGATGCATAGCGAGTATGATAGTCGAATTTTGTTTGCGGCGGAGTTCAGATGCCATGTGCTGTGTGGTGTGGGTGTTAGTTGACAGACCGTCGGATAGATGAGTATTATATATGATGTAAAATAATGTAAAGAAAGAAGGAAATGTAAATATAATAAAGGAATGTATTCATACCCGGAGCATCTGGTTAAGTGCTGCCTTTGAGGCAGCATATGCAGCAAACCTAGAGAACGACTCGTAAGCAAGTGTGTCGATGATGAGCCTCAATAATTATCAGACTGGTCACTGCAGACATACCCGTCTTCGAATTCGCGGAATTGAGCAGTCGATCCTGAATCGCTGGACATGAACATGATGGTACCAATGGGAATGGATGTCTGCAGGAGTCTCTGCGCGGTAATTATAGGTCCGATTGTGTTGGTGTGGAGGTGGTATGCAAAGTCATCAAAGGAGCTGCGTTTATGTTCAGTTGAAGCCCTTGAGAATGGAAACAAATAAAATAAAATAAATGTGGATTGACAAACTTGTGGAAAGGGTACAGACATTTCTGTTGCTCTCTGTCGCACGGGATTAGCAAAGGATTCGAAATATGGAATCTGAAAATATGGCAGAAGATGAAAACAATAAAAGCAAAAACAATAAAAAAAAACAAGTTAAAAAATAAAAATAAAAATAAAAATATGTAGAAAATAATAAACAAAAGAAAAAGAAAAATCAAGTGATTAGTCAAGGTAAGAGCATACGTTTGGATATTTGAGTACACCGGCATTCAAAACAACATAGTCAATTCTAGTCAGATCAGGCAAGTTCTTGACTTCTCTCACAAAAGACTAAGAAAAATTATCAGAGAAATTCAGAATCACTGAAGCATGGTACATCTCACGTCAATGCTTTCTTCCACTGTCACATCACAGGGCAGTATAGTACAAGCACCGTAGGTAGCTTTGCCGGCCAGAGACCACAGTTGAGAGGCCTGTGCAACCCCGCGAGCAGTAGCAATGACCCTGTCTCCTCGTGCAAGGAGTTGTCGAACAAATTCGAGGCCAATGCCTCGGCTTGCACCGACAATGATACATGTCGGCATGATTGTCAGATTGATATAAAATTCCGAGAATGTGTAGCAAGATATATCAACATCTATCAAGGTAACAAAGGATTATTAAATGTGACTGCGCCCTGTATAATTTAAAAAGAAAAAAAAAATCAATCAATGTAATGGTCAATGAGATATGGATACACAGCACATATAATTGATATATGACTTCAAATTGATATATAAATGGCTCCTTTTCTGATACCGCTGGACGTGCAATTGGTGCTCTTAAGGTTGACAGGAGTATCCTTGAACCACAGCATCATATCAGCCATAGATATCCGTGATCGGCACGAGGCGGAGATTAGGGGTCGTTCAGTGTGGAGAACGAGGTATTGATAAAGTTTCCTTTTTTGGACACTGACAATCCAATCGCATCCGGCTTTCCGGAATAGCAAAATTATGATTGGTTGGTTACTCGCTTTCCGAGAAGTTCCGGGCGCGCTTTGATGGAAACGAATCAAATTTTTCCTCTTTGGATCTGAACGTGGCTGTCACTTACCATCCCCTCGAATATCATTGGCCAATTGCTTTAAGCCTCTGTGTGGCTTGACAGTGACCCAGTTTCGGCCGGTCGCTTGGGTTACTGTAATTGCTCGGCCTGCGTTTTCTCTCCGTCACCACCCAGCTGCCCCTTCCTCGTTTTTCTTTCCCATCCTTAAACATCCTCATCTAACTTTCTTCAATCCACAACTCTTCAACTTCTTTCAAGTCCATTTTCTTCTTTATCCCCTTTTAATCATTCAAAATGTCTTTCGCTCCTGGTATGTGCAATCAATTGCTTGCTACTCCCTATTGTTTGCTTTTTGTCCGATCGCCATTGTCTCTTTATGCCGATCTTGCGCCTTTTCTGCCGTGAGCTTCAGGACTGCAATTGACCTGTGCGCACCGCATTGAGAGTCCCAGTGATGGCTATGGAGATTAATTGGACTGATTCGCAATGGTGCATTGATCGCATTGATTGCATCGAATGCCTTACTGGGGCAGGTTGCTCCTAGGAGACGTTCTGCTGTCCTTGCGCACTTCAATCTTCACATCTAAAATCCCTCCCAAAACAAGCGATGCTAACTTTGTCCTCCCAGGTGACGAGAAGAAGGGTGCCAACCTCTTCAAGACCCGCTGCGCCCAGTGCCACAACCTTGAGGCTGGCGAGGGTAACAAGATCGGCCCCAACCTGCACGGTCTCTTCGGTCGTAAGACCGGTTCCGTTGAGGGCTACTCCTACACCGATGCCAACAAGCAGAAGGGCATCACCTGGGACGAGAACACTCTTGTAAGCTTTTAATGATAAAAATTCAACTGGCGCCACCTTTCTAACACTATACAGTTCGAGTACCTCGAGAACCCCAAGAAGTACATCCCCGGTACCAAGATGGCCTTCGGTGGTCTCAAGAAGCCCAAGGACCGTAACGACCTGATCACGTATGTTTCCCTCTAATCCGGATTATGGGCGATCTCCAGTAGCTGACTTTCGCCCCCAACAGTTTCCTCCAGAGCTCTACCAAATAGATTTAATCGCATTTCTCTCACGGGATGATTCGCTTCGGCTGAGTCGCCCCGACTTTTGTTCATATAGCGCGCTCTTGGAACCGTTAGACAACCTCTTGTATCAATAGGATTGAATCTTGTTTCGTTTTTCTGCATTTTTTACTCTCTTCATGGCGATACGCCGGTGATTCTGTATATTTATTTGGGTCATACCCGGGTGGCTCGCGTGCTATAAAACGCCTGTCTTGTATCTTTTAAAAATACCATTCTCCTCTCCGAGCGGCGAATCCTTTCCACTCCCATGTCGTGTCCGATGTGTTTGCTCGCAGCGGTCTCTAATGCACTGTTTCCAGCACCGTTTTTGGCGCGTAACCAACAATTCCCTGCCAAATCTCTACACGACTCGGCTCTCGGCTCCATTTCCGCCGCTGACGTCATTGACGATTCCTCTATTGATCAACGAGCTCGAAAAATCTAATCATGAGCCTCAATTTGGCTTTGTTCAAAATTACGGCCTAATAGCAGAATTCTGCTAAATTTTCGTCGACGCTTGCTTCAAAGACTTCACGACGAAATGCGGCAAGGCGCGGAACAACAAATCCCTCCCGGAACTTTTACTCTAGAGTTTCAAATTGCTCTTGTCGCCTCATGTCAAATTGTTTCTCTGCCTTGAGATCATCATGCCTCTCTCGTACTAATTTATTCATCATGCGAATTACCAGCTTCTATTCGTGACATGACAATTGCTGGTGGGGTCTTTCTCCATCAAATCTTCATCATACCCTGCCGCAACCTGGGCGTTCCTGCCACGGGAATGCTGCCTCTACAAATGTTCGCACGTACCTACATCGACTCACAGCTACTTCATAAACAAATATGCAACTTTGTCTTGAATCGATTTCGTGTCAGAAAGACACCATTGATGTCTACATTCACCATCCTGAGGACGGCTGAGATGGGCCGAGACACAGGTAATTTCAGCGAATCTCGTACATCGAGCACAAGACCTCGGAAGACTCAGTACCGGCTTATTGAAGACGTCGAAGATCTGGACAGGTACCGCCCCGGGGGATACCATCCTCTTCAAATCGGGGACGAGTTAGATCGTGGCCACTATCGACTGGTTGACAAGCTTGGGTATGGAGGATACTCGACCATATGGCTGGCCCGAGATCTACGAAAAGCAGGATATGTGGCGGTGAAAGTCATTACCGCTGATGCCAGTGATTCCAATCATGAGGCTAGTCTCATTAATTCTCTTCAGAATTCGCCATCTAGACGGGGGAGCGACATTATTGCTCCTCTCGTTGACGAATTCTGGGTCGCCGGTCCCAATGGGAAACACAGATGTATTGTCACTCCGCCGGCGCAGATGAGCTTGTTCGATGCCAGAGAGGCTTCTACCCTTGGGCTGTTTCGGCCCAACGTCGCGCAGTCGATTGTCGCTCAGCTCATTCATGGAGTTGCATTCCTTCACAGTGAAAATATTGTCCATGGCGGTATGTGATGCCCATGGATGTATCTAGCTGAAATGCCTGGACTAATCCCGTTTCCCAAGACATTCATCTTGGTAACATTTTGATTCAGTTTCCTGAGGCGATTGATAGATTTTCTACATCAGATCTCTACGAGAGATTCGGAGAGCCAGAGCCAGAGGCCGTAGTTCGTATAGATGGTAAACCGTTGCAGAGTGGTGTACCCGTTCACGTATTTATACCCGCTTGGTTTGGCGTCCGCAGCGACAAGATTGTCCTTGGCGAGGAGAAAATTATCCTCAGCGATTTTGGAGAATCATTCAACCCACATAAAGCTCATAGACCCTGTTCGAAGACGCTTCCTCTCCTCCAGCCACCAGAGGCCAGGTTCTCGGATCAGCCGCTCTCCTTTGCATCGGACATCTGGACACTTGCATGCACCATCTGGGAGATATTTGGTCAGCGGCCTTTGTTTGAGGCCTTTTTCCCAACTGCCGACCGCGTTATCAAGGAGCAAGTCGAAGTCCTTGGTATTTTACCCCCAGAGTGGTGGGGGAAATGGAGCAGAAGACTAGATTGGTTCAACGAAGAGGCCGAATTTGATTTGAGGCCCGAGACGTCTAGGGGTCATGATGGCGTGCGCAGGACTTGGGACCAGAGGTTTGACTACTCCATACAGGAGCCTCGGGCTGAGGCCGGCCTGGAGACCGTGACGAAGGAAGAGAGGAGGGCGTTCGAGGCGATGCTTCGCTCGATGCTGAGCTTCCGACCAAACGAAAGAGCGACAGCGCTGCAGGCATTGCACTCAGAATGGATGAAGAGATGGGGACTACCAGCTCTGGAACAGAGCGAGAGTATCTTTAAATCTGTTATGAAAGGAAAACACAATTTACAAGATTGAGTACTAAAACAGTTTCAAGCAAGGGAAAGGAGTCGGCCGACATTGATATTGACTGGAGGACACGTTGAGCCAGCCATAGAATTATCTGGGGTTTTCTTCCCTTTCTCAAACCCGTTGGTTCTGATCAGCATAAAGCTGTTCACAAAGGTTGTCACGAATTCATAATTTGACCCAAGGGTATCATTCCAAAGCCATTGGTGATACAGACTCGTAGATCTCAGCATTAGGGCTCTGAGAAACAATCAAAGAGACTATGTGGCGACACCGGTTTCCAGAGAATGTGTAATATGAGAGACTTGACTTACTCTTGGCTCCTTCTTGATGCAGCAACAAGCTTAAACGATAGCAGGACACTTTGACCACAATCTTAACCCATGGTATTTCGCAGAGAAGGTACGAAGAAAGTACATCCGACACCATCTTTTCCACCTGCCTCTTACGGAGTTGCCCATATCACTGGGGTGCATTTTTGTGTACCGAAAACTGCCTGTGGTGTCCATACTCCTGGGCTTGCAGATATGAGTGGGGATCCCAACGGAGACACGAGACTAAACAGCAACTTATCCTGGTTGTGGAACCGGGGAAGCTGTTTGTGGTGAGATAGCGTGTTATGTTAGAAGGTCTGTGGTTTCCTAGCAAGTCTGATTTGAGAGATCTGAGGAGCCTTTTCCTAGTGTGGCAGCAAGACACGAGATATTGCTGATACTGACAGAAGTCTTTGACAAACCCGCCCCGATCACTCGAATCCATTGAATTGATGGACTGATGATAATCGATTTCGTTGGAATTATTACAGAGATGATGAGGATGATACAAGCAACATCATTACACTTCTTTTGCATCATAGCCAGCCGGTATCGAGATGCCTGAAGACGATCCCATCCTTCTGATGTCTCATACTCCGGTAGAGATGCGGTACAAGACCAATCATCCTCATCGCATTTGCTAGTGGAGTCCTCTACAAGGCTTCGACAGGGTATTGATGGCAGCCAACGATCACCGATTGTTATCGCGCGATCTTTATTTTGTGGTGAATAAGGTTGATAGGGCCCGCTTAAATGAGAATAATCTGTCACATGAACCACCGGACCATGAAGCCATAGACGCCATGCTTCAGTCATTGACGCAACATTCGATCAACCGTCTTGGCAAATGATAAGAAGCATGTTACTGTACACCTGTTCCGTGGTTGGTTGGATGGCAGCAGGAGCCTACTTCACCTTGCAGACGGAAAAGGTATATCTCAATGTGTGAATTCTTAGTACAGTGGACTGATCATGATAATCCACCATCGTGTGGTTCTTGCTCCGCCCACCCGCCAGAGTTGCAATGGCTCGGAAGCAGCGCAATAAACAGCATGCGGCCCTGGATATTTGTTACCTTAGAGAAATTGTCTTCTCGCGCTTATTTTCTCATCTGAAAAGACTCGACGCCAAGCAATCTGGTTAAATTGACTGGATATTCATATTTTGATTACCATATGCTAAGATATCTGTGGGGAAAAATGACCCGACAGTCAGTGGACCGAGTGCACCACAGACCCACGATGCCTCAAATTAGGCTTTTGTGGCACTCGTCTTCGTGCCAAACTACTCAGAGCTCCGCTTCAGGTGATAGCAACACTAGGCAGAGAAGTTCTCAACGTGGTATTAGCGGTGTGTTCGGCGTTGGCCGCCATGTCCCCATTTACACCCACAAAGAACTAGACGGGCTTCCAGAAAGATTTCGAGTCAAGGGGAGTGTGTTTGTCGCCTGAGATGGCCGCTGATCACGACCATAGAAGCGGCTAGCTATCTTCCAAAGGTCCAGTCAGAATTTTTGCCCATTTGACTTCAGGGTAGAGCCACCCTCGCACCATAGCATGGCCGAGTCGACTCCTTCATCGTTTCTTTGGTAGCGGGTTGAACTACAGCCTGTCAGTGGCGAATGGAGGGGAGACGGGCCTTTCAGAAATAAAGATTGCAACATTGGGCGGCAGAACAAACAGCCGACCTGGACCGAACGGTGGCCTTCCTGCCAGGGCCTAACTAGGGTTTGCCTAATCACCTGCTCTTTTTGGAAGTCATTTCCGTGCGGACTTACTACGAACACCAGGCGCGAAACAGGTACCGCTCTGGAGTTTGGGAAATGAATTATCATTACCTTTTGGTTGCTCATAGCGTCTCCGCCGATAATAAATCGTATTTGCGGCTACCAGAATCGGCAGATGATATTGTGACTTCTTCACTGAGGATATTCTCGTTGCAGAGAGTGCTTGTATATTCCAGGGAAAATGCTGATATACTTGTGCCCCTATTTTCCAAAGCCAATTGATAGTCACAGTTGGGTTGACTCTTTGGCATACGATCCTGAGATCAAGATCTATATCTGCATGTACATAGACGTGCACGAAATGCCTACTGCTTGACGAGGATTGGCTGACAAGTGGTGGGTGCGACGGGGTCACTGCAGCTTCCACCTACTCCAGCTTGGATACCCGAGTCACTCCCCCAGTGGGTTGATCTGCGAATAACCCTTGCTTCACTCTTGAATTATCATGCAGCAGTCCTAGTAAGCCACAAGAGTTGAACGATTTTGAATGAGCGATGGATGATTCGTCCAATCCTTGAGATGCTTACTGTGATAGATACATGTTGTACCTCGGTCAAAATTTTGAGCCTCAGTCCTACCTGTTGGGACACACACTCTTTTTGACAGGACAAAGGACCGAGACGACGCGGGATGGCGTATGCGCCGTCGCTGATAGGCGAGCTCCAAGTGGCATTTCGCCCCGAAGATCGCCCATTTCCAGTCAAAATCCCCGAAAAATATCCTTGGACCGCCAATCATGCCACCACTTATCATAATACTCCTTGTTGCAGTTTTTCGAGTTCTGGTCTTTCACCAACGGCTGCACTAGAGCAGTCTTTCCGCACACGCCAACTCAAGTGCATGTGGAAATATCACGATACATGGTCGGATTGTCCGAGTCTTATCAGTCTAGTGGCTATTCTAGAATGCCAGGGTTGCACCGGTCCCAATCTCCATCAGCTACTCATGCTTTGCCGGTCTGTGACACCGGAACCCAGGAGTGTGCGCGCACACACGCCTGGGCAGGTCAATTGCCTCCCAGGCCCTGGGGTGCGTCTGGGTGAGCTATCTTTCCTGGGTCTGGGGCGCCTCGAGGATTGCATAAATCTATCTTGAGGCCCCCTCCCTTTCAATCCGCATCGTCACACTCGAACCTGAGTACCACCTCAGTCACTGCACTCTCTCTTTTAACAACTTGTTACGTGCGTCCAGTCTACCAGGACGCAAACCCAATATGACGGAACGGGTGAGTGATATGGCAAAGATGCATGCCACCGAGGTTCAACCTCGGAAGGGCAGCATGCAAGATATGGCTGGCGGTACTGAAGTTGGTCCCATCAACACTGCTCCCGCATACGCCGAACCGAGCATGGAAGGCAGCATTGGCAGCATGCCACTCGATGGAGAGGAGCCTACAGAGGAAGAAAAGGCCACTTTACGCCACGTCGCCGACAAGCTGCCAAAGGCTGCCTTCTTGGTGTCTTTTGTTGAGCTTTGCGAGCGTTTCGCCTACTATGGATTGTCTGGACCTTTCCAGAATTACATTCAAAACAAAGTTCATGATCCCAGCGGTGTGCCTGGTGTTCTCGGTAAGCCAATCTTTTGACAATCACTCGATGCCTCTTTTAAAAAAAAAAAAGTGCTAACAAGAATTGTGGTATAGGCATGGGACAGACTGCAGCTACAGGACTAACCAACTACTTCCAATTCTGGTGCTATTTGACACCAATTATTGGCGCCATTGTTGCTGACCAGTACTTGGGTCGATATAATGCAATTCTTCTCTTTTCCGTTATCTACACCATCGGTCTTCTTATTCTGGTCACCACTGCAATCCCCTCGGCAATTGCGGCAGGAGCGTCAAAGGCAGGTCTTATTGTCGCCATGACCGTGATTGGTTTGGGAACGGGTGGTATCAAATCCAACGTCAGCCCGTTGATTGCCGACCAGTACAAGGCTTCCAAGCAATATGTCAAGACGCTGAAGAGTGGAGAGCGCGTCATTGTTGACCCCGGTGTCACGATTCAGCGCATCTACATGATCTTCTACCTTTGCATCAACGTTGGATCTCTCTCCGCCATTGCCACTACGGAAATGGAGCACCACATTGGTTTCTGGTGGGCGTATCTTTTGCCCATGATCATGTTCATCATTGGCTTCGTCTTTATCGCCGTCAGTAAGCCATTCTACACCATCCGCCCGCCAACTGGATCGGTCATTCCTCATGCCTTCAAGGTCATGTGGATTGGCTTGACGCACAAGGGTGACCTCAACGCTGCCAAGCCGACCTACCGCGAGGAGTATGGAGGCAGCTACTCGACCCCCTGGAATGACAGCTTCGTCGACGAAATGCGCGTCGCCCTTCAGGCATGCAAGGTCTTCGTCTTTTACCCCGTGTACTGGGTCGTCTACACTCAGATGTTGAATAACTTTATCTCACAAGGTATATTTTGACTCCTCAAACTCTGTATAATCTCTGAAAGGCATTTAATTCTAACCTCTTTCGATAGCTGGTACCATGGAACTGCACGGCATTCCCAACGATCTCATGCAGAACATTGACCCCATTACCATCATCATCTTCATTCCCATCTGCGATCGCCTCGTCTATCCTCTTCTCCGCAAGGTTGGCATCAAGTTCAAGCCCATTACTCGTATCACCGCCGGATTCATGTTTGGCGCTCTTTCCATGGCCTACGCTGCCATTGTTCAGCACCTCATCTACAGCGCTGGCCCGTGCTATAAGGCCCCGCTTGCCTGCGACGCCAGCCAAGGCGGCGTCATTCCCAACCACATCCACGTCGCTGTCCAAACCCCGGCCTACCTCTTCATTGGTCTCTCTGAAATCTTCGCCTCCATTACCGGTCTCGAGTACGCCTACACCAAGGCGCCCCCGACCATGAAGTCCTTTATCATGGCCATGTTCCTCCTCACCTCTGCCTTTGGCTCCGCCCTCGCCATTGCTCTCTCCCCAACCGCCGTCGACCCCAAGCTCCTCTGGATGTACATTGGTCTCGCCATTGCTTGCTTCATCGCCGGTATCCTCTTCTGGTTCATCTACTCCCCACTCAACGCGACTGAGGACGAAATGAATGAGACGGGCGCTGGCGCTCTTGAAGAGAAGGAGGATCCTGCCCTCACGTATAGCATCGAGGACAAGGCTTAGCTTTTTTTTTTTTCCAGCTTGGCTTTGATTCTCTATTTTCTTTTCTTGTCCGTTTTCTTTTTGATGAATTTTTACGTCTTGATGACGAATGCGACGCAGAGATATCCATTTATGTCCAGTCTACGTTGATGATTGTTACTATTATATGATGGACAACATGGTTGCCTTTTTTATTTTTTTCCCTCTTCATTTTCTTCTCTTGTCACTTAGCATAAGCTCTTTATTAATCAGGTTCAATGTGTTGAGGATGGGTGGATAGTCACCACCACACCTCAAAGAATAAAAATCAAGGATATTTTTAAAAGCAAAAAGCCACCGCTTGTCACATTTGACGTACTCGGAAGATTAATGATTATGTATCGTGTGTGTTTGTGTGCAATCTTGTATATTGTTTTTACTTTCTTTTTCGTATATCTCGCTGTCAAAGGGAGAGGAGGAAACATGACAAGGCAAAATCTAACCCAAGTCAATACTAACAACAACTGCCTCGCCAGATCGCGTATCGTATAGGCCCATCTCTGTAGTTATTCGAATACTGACGTCTTGAAGGACAACGCCGATGTGCAGTTTATTTGACGCGGTCGAGGAGTCGATGTGAGGGATGTTGAGCGTGGGCGTTGCGCTGGTTGTGATTGTCTTTTGGTCTTGGTGCATTGTGCGGTAGTCGGATTTGCTGCGGCGGAAAATATTCCATGATGAAGGCGATGATGATGAAGACGAAGGGAGTGATGGTGGTAATGGAAGTGAAGTAGCAGGGAAAGATGGTGGACTTGATGGAAGCGATGGAAGTGAGGGCGATAAGGAAAATGGTGGACTCGATGGAAACGATGGAGCAAAAGAACGAGAACAGCACAACCGCCACATCTGCACGTCCAACTCGTCTCGCAATTCCTGCAAAACAACATCTCGTTGCCAGAATTCGGAGCGGTACTGCTCGCCGCGCAGCCAGACGAGGCGGAGGATACTTGTCTCTGTGGCGGGGAAGCCAATGACTTCAGGCTTCTCATCTTGCTTATTCTCATGATGTTGCCCGGCACAGGAATAATCGTTAGCTGTGGTGTGTCGTAGAGAAGATGTCGAGTAGTAGTCTTGCTTTTCTCGGTGGTGGTGCGACTGATGTCGGGAAGACTGAAGTGGGGAAGACTGAAGTGGGGAAGACTGAAGTGGGGAAGACTGCAGAGTCTCAGCATTCGATGGAACCAAGACCAAGGTCACCCTGGACAGGCCGGAAGAGACTTGTGAGAGAAGTAAAGGGGTGATGTGCTCGTTGATCAGGTTGCGGATGCGCTGTGTTCGAACAGCGGCGAGCTGGGCCGTGAGATTGAGATTGAGATTGATATGTGGACTTGAACTTGGAACTGTTGCTGCCGCTGAGACTGAGGTTGAGACTGAGTCTGAGTCTGGAACTGAATGTGAGTATGTAGGTGGTGATGATGTTGATGTGGATATGCTTTCTTCATAGGTTGGTATGCTGGTATCGTAGAACGATTGGGATTTGGATGTTTGAGCATAGTCGGAATGAGACATGGTTTTTGTATCGAATAAGCAAGGCTTGATAGCGGGATATAGCAGATTGAAAAAAAGGAAAATATTGAATGAATTATTTCAAACCGCTTCAAGTAATTATGTATTTGGAGATGAAAGCCTTGGCTCAGAAAGTCAGAGAAATTTGAATGGAAATGGAACAGAGGAAGCAATAGACGGAACTGCGCGAGTGAAGTTGCGAAGAACATTTGGAATAAAATGGTACAGTGTCATCAAGGTCATCATGGCAATGTAGCCTGGATCGTTAGCTCCCCCAAACGAGGCACAGTTCTTCTGGTGAGTTAGCGTTTCTCCGCATTGTCCCGGGGCCCAGGGGCCCTGCACAGTCAATGTGTTGATTCTGCAAGGCGAAACCTGTCTCAACGCAAAGGAAAACGCGATACTCAAGCTGGAAGGTCTGAAGGAATCATCCGTGTTAGATATCCTTCAGCCCTGATGCGGCTGACATGGCCGGTGAGTCCTGTATATCAGGCCGAGACGGGAATGAAGCAAAATGGCAAGGCGGACGAGCATCGGAAGGAGCACAGCCCAATCAGGCCGGCACGAGGGGATTTGATTGACTGCGATCAGAAAACCGGTATCGGTGTCAAAGCATCTTCATCACGAGCGCGTGAGAACAGACAACAGGGAGCAGCAGGATAATGTGGCAGTGACAAGTAAACTTTCTAGAAAGGAGATGGTCAGCCCTAAACTCAACTATGATTGTCGCTTAGTCGTGGCGTCTCGGCGTCTCGGCGCCAACTACAGTAGTGGCGGCTGTACCTGTCATCTTGTAGCGCCTTTGAGACTCAAGTTCAACGTTTCCTTATTCCCTTAGCTGGCAAGCTGTTTTAGTTCTAGTTTGCTAGCCCATAAGCACGACCTGGGCCTACGATGAGTTGTCCATGATCTGACGAAAATGCAGAGAATTAATTCATAAATTCAATTCATCGTAATTCGTGCTGTCGAATCAGCTAAAGTTGGAACACTACTTGCGACCCCGCATTTCAAGCTGGGATCATGTTTCCTTACAATGTCACCCTTGAATACTTTTTTAGCTATCCGAGATATGTCACTGAGTGATTACTCGTTTTTATTTAACGGGAGCAAAAAACGCAATGGATTTGCCGTGACATCATAGACTAGAACGTGGACACTCTTGGCTTTGAACAAATCGGGCTGTGCTATGGCAAGGTGTTCAGTTCTTCATCTTATGCTATCATAAAAGTACGGTAACACTTGAACAGATGGAGTTCTAGGCAACATTGCAATGAGGCTGATGTTCTCGCTAGAGGTTTATCTGTCCAGAATGGTGGATGCATGTCGAGCTGATAGAAAATTATATTAATTGATTCATTCGCATTTCATTGTGCCTTTGATTTTTTTTTTTTTTTTCGGTATATCTTATATACTTGCGAAATATTCCCTTTGCGCTAGTGTGCAACATTGCTTTGCTCTTTGTATTGAACTCATTCATTCTATCAGCCGCCTGCTCGTTCGATCTTGTGATACACTTACATTTATTCAACGGGGCATAGTGTCAAGATGTGGTATGGAAAAGCCCGGGCCAAATTTGTTCAATTTGAACATATGTCTGACGTTAGCAGGTACCATATCGCAGACCCAAGTGACTACCTTATCATCACCGGCGCTGGTATCGAGGATGTCAGGGTTGTCAAAAAGGTATTCGTGTATCCGTGGCAAAGGGTCTGATTGTGAAATTCATCCACCAACCACTAAGCAATAGTCTGACCTCTCTCAGGTCACGAGAATAAAGATAACGCCGTTTGATTTTTCTCTGTCGTTGCAAGCAATGACCATTGAGAAGCTGCAATTTTCTCTGCCTGCCGTATTCACTATTGGTCCAGACGATAACCAAGAATCTCTCCGCAAATATGCAAAAATTTTGTCCGGAGCAGGCAAGATCTCGTTCCGTAGACGTGCGACGGCCGTGGCGGGTGGCGCCCATGTCCAAGACACTGTCAAAGGCATTATTGAGGGTGAAACCCGGGTCATCATCTCTGGCATGTCCATGGAGGAGGTATTTCGGGAACGTCAGGTCTTCAAGCAAAAGGTTATTGAGAATGTTCAAAGCGAATTAAACCAATTTGGATTGCGCATGTACGTCCACCTAACCCCTGTTTTATTTGTCTTCTTACTTTTTAGTCTTTGGGCAATTATAATATACACCGAGCATGCACTAACCACTGGATCAAGCTACAACGCCAACGTAAAAGAGCTGCAAGATACGCCTGGATCCGAATATTTTGCTTTTCTCAGCCGCAAGGCGCACGAGGGCGCATCTAACCAAGCTCGGATTGACGTGGCGGAGGCCAGCATGCGCGGCCGCATCGGCGAGGCAGAAAAGGAAGGCCGAGCCAAGCAGGAGATTTCCAAGATTGATGCCGAGACTGCTGTGCTCGAGACGCAGCGTAAGAGCGAAAAAGCCTCGGCGGATGCCCAGCTCACAAACAAGCAGACTGAGCTCAACATGGGCATCAATCTGGCCAGGATCAAAGCACAGCGTCAAGCCGAAGCAACAGATGCGGAATTACAGCGCGAAGTCGAGCAAAAGCGCGCGGAAATGGAGCTAGAACGACTACGTGCGACAGATGTCACAAAGAGCAAGATTGAGAAAGAATCGGCGCAGCAAAAGGCCGATGCGGATTATTACACCCTCGTAAAGAATTCGGATAGTTCAATGTACAAGGAGAAAGTCGAGGCCGAGGCTGATGGTAAGCATTAAAGCTTTTTGCGTTCCCTGTACACCTCTGGAAGGAACCGACGAGTCCGACGGAGTCTATGTTGTTATCCAAGATATATTGTAGAGTTGCGTGGGACTAACGTTAACTCTCAATTAAGCCTACCGGATCACGCAAGAGGCCGATGCAGAGTACTATCGCCAGACAAAGGAAGCCGAAGCGCTCTTCTTCTCAAGACAAAAAGAAGCTCAAGGTCTATCCGAAATGGCCAAAGCATATAGCCTGTTGTCCGATGCCATGGGCGGACCAGCAGGGTGAGTCAATTCGTCCGCTTTTGCTTCCTTGTTCACTCTTCAATACTGCTTTTCGTCCCTAGTTCTCGTATTTTACCCTTAACTTAAAACCTACTATAAAGTCTCATGCAATACCTCATGCTGCAAAACAACGTCTACGAGAAACTCGCTAATGCCAACGCCGCCGCTATCCAAGGCTTGCAGCCCAAAATCACCATCTGGAATACCGGTAAGTTTTACCCGCTCTAGTCCATCCCTGTCATATATATCTCTGTGTACCTTATATCTCCCTTTCTATTCCTATCCTCCATCCTCTATCCTCGAGAGACTCCGTCACTATACTACCATCCTACTATCCACTGACACGCTCTCAGGCAATCAAGATTCTTCTGGCTCTGGCACCGCATCAAACACGGACTCGGCTGCCGCCATCCGGAATCTATATCAATCTCTTCCGCCACTATTCAGCACTATTAATGAGCAGACGGGCCTCGCACCGCCCACTTGGCTCGCGCAGTACCAGCCGTCTCAACAATATCAATATCAGCAGGGCGCTGATGACATCGATTTGCGTCGTAGTGATGGTAGTCTTACCGCCAGTTCAAAGAAGCCTGTGGTCAATGGCGAGTAGGGGTCTCGTGACTGGATGAACCGTAAGATACGTAAACGAGGAGATTTTGTGTTTCAGGTTTGTTTATTTCATTTTGGATACTTTGTCCTTGTGCTTTTTTAATGCATCTTCTCTTCATTGTTTCTCTTTTAACGCTTTCTCCATATTATTCTGGGAATTTTGTATACCTAACCGCATATATTTTGACTTACAAACGATCTCATGTGCAATGCATGCATATCCTCATACCGTTTGCTCTTCTATTATTATTGTTATTTTCCTTCTTCACGGTCAAATCTTCACACACAACGACCCATGCCCGTATTTTTCTCGACTATACCTACCACACCATAGAGATTATATCGTTATATCATAATCTCTCGTAGTGAATCCACTTATCTTAATCCTAAATCCATATTTCATACATTTCATACACTTTTCCCTTCTTCATTTCGCTTTCTCCTAGCCATTTATCTTCTTTTCACAAGCTCTCAACTTCCCTCCCTTAGACTATATATTTTTCTCGACAATCCAGGGCTGAGCCGGCACCGGCGTACACTCTCAAAAAGAAGTATCAAAATAAGAAAATTAAGAACCTTTTGAAAAAAAGATGCAAAAAACGAAGTAATAATAAAAAAAGAGACAAAGACAAAAAAGTTGTTGATGGGAGTGGGACTCGAACCCACGCTCAGTTTCCCGAACCAGGAAATTACTAAGAAAGCAACTCGTGCTAAGGTTGTGACCTTAACCTGGCGCCATAACCAACTCGGCCATCCCACCTGATTGGTTGAAATCGAGTGTCTTATAATAATTTATAAACCTTATAGTTCTCTATAAACCTTACTCGGTACGGTGACTTATAAACCTACGGAGTAAAGGATTGGCCTCGACTCACTTGTCGTCACTTTGCTCACTTTCGCCCCTGGCCCCTCGGCCGAGCCGTCCGTGTGTACTCCGTAGAATTACTGGCGGGCCATGTATGCATTGCTCAAGCGTTTTGATGACAGGATGGACCCTCGGACGAAACACGGGAATAGGGAACTGGCCAGGCCGCGAATCGCCAAAACGACGAGCAGGCGAGGCGAGATGCAGGGCCGGGCTGTTAGAAGAGAACGGAGTAGGGGGGCAGAGGCACATTTGTATCAAAGGAAAGTCACACCTGGCAAGTATTGTGTAGCATAATATTTTAGAGGCGAAGATAAAAAATGAAAAATAAAATAAAAAATAAAAAAGAGGAGGAAAAACGAGGGAAAAGAGAAAAAGGGAAAAGAGAAAAGAGAAAAGAGAAAAGAGAAAAAGAAAGTCAATCGTAATATCAGTCAAAAGTGCAATCATTCGGATTCAGCCAGGGATTCGAAACGATGCACACGGTATGATATTGTTATCTTCAGGTTACAAATTCGTGGGAATGGTAGTGAAGTATGGCTAGGAGATGGGTACATCAGTCTAAACACTCGTACTTCGTTAATAAATATTTTTTGAAATCGTTTTTATTAAAAGGTCAGAGTATTCCGGAAAGATGTCTCTGCGAAGAGACTCAACGTATCTAGATCTACAGATGCTCTAGATCAGAAAGCGGTAATTAGATCCTAAGACGAAAAGGAGCAATAATTTGCTCCGGCGAACCGAACCACATGTGCTTGTAGGGGTATGAAAAGAATGGCGAAAACGAAAAGCCTCCGCGCCAGAAAAAAAGCAATAAGCTCCCCTTTGCTGTTCCATATGCAGAAAGATGATGGGAAACGAACTGAGAAAACCGTTCCGGCCTGGCAACCATATCCCGGATTAAACTTTTGGTTGAATGGTAAAAGAGAAGCGAATAAGTGGTTGGACGGCCATCATTTACTGCCGCGAAACAGCGTTTTGCAAGAGACCCTTGACCTCCTTCTCGAGGCTATCGTGAACCTTGCGAGGGTCGTACATGCGTTGGCGGATCCACTCGTCGAGCTGCTCATCAGTGAACTCGCGAATGGTGATTTCGCGGTCAACACCATCCTTCTGAGCGGCGCGGATGACACCCCGGGTGACGATGACACTGACTTCACGGATACGCGAAACGTCAGGGTACAGGAGACCCTTCTTCTTCTCATCCTCGTTGAGAGCAGTGCTGAGGGAAGTGGCGGAGGCGTAGATCTAGAGAACCAATTAGCAATCCGGCCGTCCAAATTGAGTTTGCTAGATGATGCGTTTTGGAATAACTGGAAACATACCATGTTCTGAGTGACAATGACAGCCTTGCTCAAAATGGTACCCATGCCGATACCAGGGAAAACATACATGTTGTTTCCTATTGTGGGGTCAAAGTTAGCTTGTGTTTACACATGGCAAAGCAGCAAGGGGGTAGAAGTGATGACATACCCTGACCGGCGTGGTAAAGAACACCCTGGTACATGGTTGGCTGGAATGGACTGCCACTGGCGAAGACGGCGCGGCCCTCAGTGTACTTGATCGCGTCGGCAAAGGTGCACTCCGAATTGGCCGAGGGGTTCGACAAAGGGAAGATGATGGGATGCTTGTTGAGCTCAGCCATGCGGTTAAGAACCTGCTTGTCAAAGACACCGCCAATAGTCGAAAGACCCATAAGAATGGTCGGCTTCACCTCATCAATGATGTCGATGAGCTCCTTGATTTGCTTTCCATTGTTGTCGTCGCGGGCAAAGTAGACCTTGTGGTCCGCGAGCTTGTCACCACGGTCAAGAGTGATGAGACCCTTAGTGTCAACAAACCAGAAGCACTTGCGCGCCTCATCCTCAGTCAAGCCCTCCTTGACGAACCATTCGACAATCTGCTTGGCGACACCAACACCAGCGCTGCCGGCACCATAGAAGACTGCGCGCTGGTCCTTGACAGGGATACCTGAATTCTTAACGGCGTTGATAACACCAGCCAAGATCACGGCACCAGTGCCCTGGATATCATCGTTGAAGCAGGTATAAGTGTTGCGGTAACGCTCAAGCGAAGGGAAGGGGTTCTTGAAGTCTTCAAACTGAATGACAATGCTAAGGAGAGGGTGTTAGGAACTGATGATCAATCAGGAATCGGTGAGCACTTACCCAGGCCATCTTTGTGTAAGAGCAGCCATGAGCTCATCCATGAACTCGCGCTCCTCCTCGCACGAGATCTTAGGTCTCTTGCTGCCCATGTAGAGCGGGTCCTCCCACAGAGCTTCATTGTTTGTTCCCAAATCGAGCGTGAGGGGAAGGGTCAGGTCAGGACGGATACCAGCGCAGGCAGTGTAGAGTGCAAGTTTGCCGACGGGAATACCCATGCCGTTAATACCAAGGTCACCAAGACCAAGGATACGGGAGCCATCGGTAACGACGGTAATCTCAACATTTTGTGCGGGCCAGTTCTGAATCACAGAGGCAAGGTTACCCTTATCGGCGTACGAAAGATACAGACCTAGAAATTGTTAGATTCTCATTGGACAGAGGCTGCATGAAAACAAAGCAAGGAGCTTACCCTCAGGCTGCTGGTAAATTTCCGACCACCGGATGCATGCTTCACCGACAACGGGAGTGTAAACGAGAGGGGTCAGTTCCTGTTGTGGTGAGTTGTCAGCGTTGGGAATTCTGCAGATTTTCCTGACTCAATTGCACGCCTTAACTCACCTTCATGTGATCCATAGCCAAGCGATAGAAGAGATCGGTGTGATTGTTACGGAGGTTGCTGAGGTAGAGATACTTGTCGATAGCAGTCGCTTTCTGTTCCAATTGCTTCAGACCTGTGATTGAATGTTAGCTAGGAAACGTAATGGGGACTCAATCGTTGGGAGCTTGCTTACATCTCTCTGCCTGCACCTCAAAGCTCTCGACGTTGGGCGGGGTCAAGCCGTAGGTGCGGAGATACTTGCGAACCTCGACCGACAAGCTCGTGTCATAATCGCTGCTTCTGCATTTGCTGGTCAATTCAAAATCCAGAACATAATGGATCACGGTCGAAACGGGTTTGACGGTGAGGAGGAAGTGAGAGACGGTGGTTGAGGGGATCATACGAAGGCGCAGCACCTCGTCCTGGCAGGAAGGACTGAGTGTGCTTGACACTGGGCGCAGGGCCCGACTCAGATGCAAACTTCGTCGTCGATGACATGGTTCTCAGGATGTTTCTAAAAGGCGGGAATCGTAACATTGGAGGGGGAAAAAGGAGGATAGAGAAGTTGGGAGGAAAATGAAGTATTTCAAAGAAGAGGTTGGCGGGTTCAGTGAATGTTTTAAATAGAGTCACCTCTGCTGGGGGGCGGGGCTACTCGCACGGCAGACTCAACCAGGAAGGATAACGTAGTAGAGAGATTTGATCGCGATAGTTTTTCGAAGCTTCAGCAGCTAGATTTTTGGGAGACTGGGGAGAACATGGGGGGGTGGACTGGGATCGTCCGAAGGGTCGAGACAGCTGCCGATGGCTTTAACGGCAACACGCAAATCTTACCAATAGACCCATTTCATCATGTCTTACCCAATGACAATGGCATCTTGCAGTCCGGCAGGGTGTCTTGTAGTCCCGGCACGGCATCGCACGAGCATGAGGCGACCATAATTTTGGGTCATCAGAGAAGAACTTCGGCGGTACTACGACGCCAGAGAGCGTTTGCTGAGGATGAGGAGATTCCGATGTTGGCAGGGAAGCAGACGATTCATAATTCAAGGGAATTTCCCGGAACCGAATGCCCCTCGTACGGTAATGATTCGGGTGCATATCCCCGACTACTTTCAACTCTGCGACAACTCGCACCAATCTCATGTCTCCGTGACTCTTTTGGTCTCTTTTCGCGCTTCCAACATCGGAAAAATCGTCGCCAGAGACCAGGTCCCCATGGTAGAGTTTCGCCGGCGGTAACGCTTCCCCTGCTTTGTCGAGGCGGATCCTGACGCGGCTGCTACAGGGATTGCTAATTCTATGCCTTTTCGTTGGACCAGATATTTTAAAACACATTTTTGATTAACAAATTTCTCTAGGCTCGACTTTGGGTTCCCAGACATTCTCGTTGGGTTCCAAGATTTTTTTCATCCTCTCTTTTTTGTTGGAGATGGAGCAACAATGAATTTTTCTCCCAAAAGCTATGACCGCCCAAGAAAACGCACAAACAACCACTTGAGAATTTTAGGCAAGGCATGCCAAGGATGCGGACCGTAGTGTCCGATTGAACCATCTGATTCCGATGTCGCTGGTCAGCAAGAATAATCAGGACATGAAAAAGCAGCTGAGGCACTCAATCGAGCGCCTGATGGTCGGCAGGTTGTCAGATCGCTTGGCAACGCATGAGATTCACGAGATAACCCCTACCGGCTTGGACGTCAACCTGGGGCAAGGGTGGGCTGAAACACGACCCCCCTAGCTGCTAAGTTAGGCTTACGGATTGTCTTCCGGCACATTGGTGATGCCGACAAGGTGTCCCAAATGGGATCAATACCGAAAAGCTTATGAAAGCAATCAATCCGAGATCCGTTGGGTGTTTCTGTAGTATATCCCCCTTTATCATCCCCATGTCGATTCTGGATTCAACGTTCATCCATCATCATTATCATCATCAGCAGCAGCATCATCATGATCATCTCGATTTATGTCCTGGCACACAAATCCGTGCCACCCGGATAGCAGGGTTGCTCTCGGAGTTCGGAAGGGAAGATTGTAATTCAAGCCCTCCCCGTGAGTTCCGATATTTCTGCCGTTTTCCTAACCTGTCTTGCTGTGCCCCTTATCGCTCGACAATACTGACGTTTTCTTCATGATAAATGCTACAACATTATTTCCTTGAGACCCCTACACTTCTTCGTGTGATTTTCATATGATGTCGATTTGCCCAAGTTCCCTTGGCGCTCCATAAACGGAATCTTTAGCGAGTCTATCTGGGTCTCGGCCCTCCAAAGGTTCCCATCCGACTTTCCTGTTCCTATGTATTTATGTGACGTCATCACCTCCTGTAAACAGGCTTGAGCACAGCCATTCATCGCGTTTTCAGCTTAGGTTCAAGTATTTTGCCATCTCAGCCATATGTGGCGCATTCGGGTCGAGAGTCTACCCGTTTGCTGTGTGCGACTTCTGCCATCATATTGACGTTGTTGACGTTTCCTACTCTTCGCACAAAATTGAGGGGTTGAAACATTCGTGTGGTCTTTGACCCCATCTATCCCATTGTCTCGTTCATGAGCATTGAATCTTCCCACCGCCGCTTGCCGCTTAGAAGGACTCGCGTTGCTAATCACGAAGGCATAATACAATTTCCCGGAATATGCAAATCTAGCAAAGTACGATCTGACGCAGCTAGACTTTGCGTCTGTTAGCTCGATAATACAAATTCTGATCATGTCGTCCTGCTTTGGATTTCGCAAATCGAGACAAGATGATACCGATCCTTTGCTCCCTCGGTATCAAGATGACACCTCGCTGCAAAGGCAACTTCATCAGAAGTTGCATACATATCAAATGTTTCGTGCTTTAGGCAAAGGTTTCATGCCGTCCACTGAGCAGATCATTATCAATTTGCGAACTTTGCTTGCTTCTGATCTTTTGAACCCTGCCAATCCAGAACTCAGTGACTCTGGACGTTTATTGGTCAAATACACAAAGCAATGGTTAATCGAGTTCATCGATCTTTTACACCACAAGAATGGAGATGACCAAATCCAAGACTTCATTTGGTATCTAACCAAGGCCAGGGTGTCACTAGACGTAGCAGACCTGGCCGACAGGGCATCTAAAGTCAGAGCAAAAGCAGATACGACTGCAGGTAGACTACCATTTCTACTTCGTTGAAGACAATGTGACCATCCCGCTGACAGCCCATTGCAGCATACCAGAGCCTGCGAACCGTGGGCAGCCTGCTACTAACCAACTCGGATTTTCGAATTTTCCTCTCTGATCTCAATGTTGTTGGACGCCAGGTATTTGCAGACACAGCTTTCAGTTTGTCGAATGTCGCAGAAACGGCTGGAAAGAAAATTGAGCCGTCGCTGGAGGACCGAAAGACGATCCAGGAGCCTGGTGCAGACCAAGGACAGTCCATTACAACCGAGGACTTGGAGCACGAAGCCGCCGAAATCTCTGAAGTGGTGGGCAACGGCTTGGCCAGGACCGGTAAGGAAGCAGCACATAGCTTGACCGAAAATCTTTCTGGAGAGCACAAGGACACACTCTATTACCGTCTCAAGCAGTCAGTTCTCAAATTGCGCAAACGTCAAGACTACTCCGACTCTGTTTCAACCATTTCTTTGTTGATTGAGCGCTATGCCAAGGCGTATTCTCGTGCTGTGGACTCTACTATCGGTGCCGCGCAAGATGATCTACACACAAACGCGGAGCTTGATCGGGCCGTGAGAAACTTTTGGTCGTTGATAAGCTCCTTTGGCGACGAAGCACAGTGGAAAGAGCTAGAGAACCGATTCCACAAGGTCATGGAGCACTCTCAGAAAGATCCCGAATTTGAAAGCTTAATGGTTGACGTAGGAAACTCTGTCCAGAAGTTGCTTACAGATCCAGATTTCTTTGAAGCTGCAGAAACGAAGATCAAGGAGTTGCGTCAAAAGGCCCGCAGCTCGGACTCATCTTTGCGAAAGGATGTGGACAGTCTTCTTGAGCAGCTGCAAACGACATTCCAGTCGGTCATTCATGATGAAGATATAGCAAAGCTTATAGCCACTACTTTAAAGCTTGTCCGAATCATTTCTCCGTTACACACTGCAACAAACGGGGAGCTCATTGATGACAGCATCAACGTCTTCATGCCTCTGCTAATACAGGCCATCCAATATGTACCCATTCCCAGGCTCGAAATATCAGTTCCCGAGATTGATCTCTTGCTGGAAAATCTCATAATCGAGCCTGGACGAACGGTCAACAATACCTCGTTCCTTCCTTATAGACTTCGAGTGGAAACGTACAATGACTTGGAGATTCGAAAGGCTCGTTTCCGCACCACATCGACCGTGTCGTCACTTGTAACAATCAAGCTTGATGGATTGTCGATTCGTGCCGACGAGGTTGGTTTTTGGCTTCGTGCCCACTCCGGATTGCTGCGGCTTGCGGATGAGGGAATAGCCTCGTTTCACCTGGACGAAAGGGGTGTTGATATTCACATTGATGTCGAAGTGTGCAAGGAAAGGCTTGAGAAGATTTTAACTCTTAAAGATGTTCGGGTAAAGATCCACAAGCTCTCGTACACTCTACGCAAGAGTAAATTTGCATGCCTGGCGTGGATTTTCAAGCCTTTGTTGCGGCCAATCTTTCGCAAGGTCCTTGAACACCAGATTGCCTCGGCCATTGCCGATGGCTTGCACGCGGCCAACAGAGAGTTGCTCTTTGCTCGAGAGAGGCTTCGAGCCACTCGAATCTCGGACCCTCGGGACCTGGCCACGTTCGTCAAGGCGGTCATCACTCGCTTGACACCAGCAGAGGATCCCGATTTCTATGCTCGGGCAGGTATCTCAGCACCCCGAAAGGGTTTATTTGCTGGAGTTTATGCACCGGGAAGTGTTGTCAAGCTCTGGAATGAAGAAGCTGAGCGTGCAGGTGAGATTGTTGAGGATTATGCCGAGGATGGCTGGCGCAATGAAATATTTGACGTGCATACAACCGTCCCAGAGTAGAGGTCATGGGTATTTGCACGCCTGTTGCCAATTTTCAAAATGATTTGGTCAGGCAACTTTTCGAACATGCTGCCTTTTGCAATCATGGCTGTCCTTGATTATGGTGATATTGCTGTCTACCTTTGTTATTGCAGGTGCTGAGGGTGTAACAGTTGATAGGACTGCAAACAACAAGCGGTCAATGGGAATCAGAGAACATGCATGGAAAGTAGAATAACGAAATGACGAAGAGCGCTGTCAAGCAGATTCAATAGTTTTGGAGCATTTGATTGTAGATTGGACATTTTCACGGGATAATTTTCCTGATTCAGGAATAAAGCGAAGTCAGTATATCTGGTTCTCTTGGTACCTGACTTCCGAGGCATCCTCGCACGGAGACGGAGAAGGCGACCAAGGGATCGCCGACTCGCAAGGGGCGAGAAGAAGAAAAGGGCAAGTGGAAGCCGAGCGCTAAGTCCAGGGGAGATTGCTTAGCGTCGCGATAAGTCGAACCTTGTTGCTATCGCTATTGATTGCCCCGCCGAGGGGCCGATAACGCACTACGCACTTACTCCGATACGTCGGGGAATAATCCATATATTTTTTTGAGACTGAACTTCAAGATGCGGGGTCTCATAAAGATTAGAGCTGATTCTTCTTCTTATATATTTGCATTCAGTTGACCACTCTTCCATTCTCAATTTGCTAAAACGCCCAAAACCTATTCGAAGAACTGTACTTTACTACGAAACCGAGCTATAAGAAACCATCATGACCGTCGAAAAGGCTTCAGTTCTCCTCGTTGGAAGCGGAGGTGTTGGCACCATTGCTGCGCTTAACCTCGAGACCGGTGGACGTGCCAGCGTCACTGCCGTGCTGCGATCCAACTATAACGTTGTCAAGGAGAAAGGCTTCAAGATTTCCTCCTGCGACCACGGAGTCCTTGAGGGATGGAGACCAACTGAAGGTACGTCATAGCAGCATATCATTTAAACAAAAACATCGTCGTTCCTTTGGATAGCATACAGATTTTCTGACACGTGAGATATACAGTGGTGAACAAGGTCCCCTCCGCGTCGGAGAAGAAATTCGACTACATTGTGGTTGTGACGAAGAACGTGCCGGACTGCCCGCCGACTGTTGCTCAGATTATTGCGCCGGCCGTGATGCCCGGCCACACCGTCATTGTGCTTGTTCAGAACGGACTGAACATTCAGAAGCCCATTTTTGAAGCATTCCCCGACAACATCTGCCTGTCGGCCGTCAGTGTCATCCAGTCGCACGAGATCGAGCACGGTGTCGTTGAGAACGACGACACCGACAACCTTTCCATTGGCGCGTTCCACAACCCCAAGCTCTCCGTGGAGAAGGAGCAGGCCGTCGCCAAGGAGTTTGTCGAGATCTACAAGGCCGGCGGTAAATGTATCACTACCTATGTCGAGGATGTGCCGTTCAGCCGCTGGCGCAAGCTGATGTACAACACCTGCATCAACTCCGTCGCCGCGGTCACTGGCATGAACACTGGAGAGCTGCAGCTGGCCAAGGGCACAGTAGATGGACTTATTCGCCCTCTCATGGACGAGGTCCGGACCGCGGCAAAGGCTGCCGGCGTGCAACTGCCCGAGGACATTACGGACTTTTTCATCAACAATGCCCTTGAACCCATTGACATGTATTTTGAGCCTAGTATGCTCGTGGATGTCAAGAAGGTTAGTCCACAATTTCTTGTTCCTTTTCCTGTGCCCTTTGTTGTTCTCTTTTGTTATTACATTTTTTTAAAACCTCTTTTGTACCTCAACTTTTTGAGCGCCGGCTAACATGGATCGATTTAGGGAAACTTTATCGAATTCGAAAACATTGTGGGCGAGCCTCTCCGCGAAGGCACCGCTCTTGGCGTGCCCATGCCCACCTTGAAGACGCTGTACCACCTGCTCAGCGCAATCCAGTACAAGACCAAGATTGCCCGCGGAACCGTCACCATTCCTCCCAAGGGCGACTATCTCGCCCAGCGGTAAATTTTTCATTTCTGGTCAAACATATTATAGATATCCATTCTTCATATTGTATATATTTAGATCTCTTTACGCACGGCAACATGGCTTGCGAGGTGTCTTGGAATACGTCAATTCAATTCAGTTCAGTTCATTTCAATTCAATTCGATATTTTGATATTTGCTATTTATTAAAATTACCATATGCAGCTCTTTTTCATATTCACTGGTAATAGGTATTCATCAAATCATCATACACAGTCTCTATTTCATATCTTGGTATTCTGTATCGAAATACACATACGAGAGACTCTTTGGTAGGGTGTCCTGGTGTCTGAACTACCACACTCGCACGTACGTATTACGGAGGAGACGATAACGAAGGGTCGAGCTGATTAGATCCGATATCAAGATCTTACTTCCGGTCGCAGCCAGGCTTACTCTAACTTCCCCGCTCGTTCATGATAATCTACCCTACCTAGATAGGTGCCTCAATGCCTCGGTGCCTTCGTATCCCGGCGCTCGGTGAGTCCTACGTACTGTAAACGGTCTACCGGTACATACATCGGCCATACCTTCCCCATCGCCCGTCAACCCAGGCACCGCACACCGTCCTCGGGATCTAGCGAACTAGGCCTGGCCCACCAACCCATAGGCGTTAAGTGCCTTAACTATAGCTTGGAGTATGATACTGTAACTCGGAGTAAGCTACGCAGTACGGTGTACTCGGAGTGGCCCCTTCGACCTTAAGGTACCCTCGCTACCGTGGTATAAAATACCTTGGTCAGTTAGGCGCCACTTATCCTTATCGATATGCTTTACCTGCAGAGTAAGTCGACAACCTGCCTAGCGTCAATCGGACAAACTTAACTTTGTCGGACAAAGTGTCTTCGTAGTTGGCGTCAAAAGTCTCCCTAGTACTGTGTGATATCGGTCCTGACTTTCCTTTGTTACCCACCGCCCACCGCCCACCGTCCACCGCATCTAGCTGCTTCGTACAGAGTACTCTGGCGTGGCATTCGGAAACATGCACCTTTACCCGCCCGCACGTACAGAAATGTAGGACTTGCTCCGCGAGCGATATACAGCGGATACAGCAGATATAGTAGTACTTTGTACCGATAAATAACAAGGAATTAATACGTAGTACAGCCTGACAGTGGGATAATAGATACAGTAGGATAAGTGATACAGTAAGACCGGTCATGGATGCCTGGGGAGAAACCAAACAAAACAAGACAAGACAAGAGAAGACGACAAGACTAAGACAACAGAACCCTGGCATCACGGCCCCACGTTTAGAGGTCCTAGAGGTCCTAGAGGGAAGGTTTATCGGAGAAGCATGACAATGATACGATAGCCACGATAACACACGCACCCACAAGGTCAATTGATGTATAAAACCCGTGGGTAGCGACGCCCACTTTCTTCGGAGTTGGGTTAGAATTTGACCATCATTCCTGAGTTCGGTGTCCTTTTTTTTTTTACCCTCCCCGCTTCTGCGTACACACGGACAAATCCCAATTAACTCAATTGCACACGCGTGTATCAATTGATCGAGCGTGACTGCGGATTTTTCCCCGCAGAAAAAACTTACGAAAGGGAAAAAAGGTCCGCCTAAGGAAAACCAAAAAGGAAAATAGAGTAAGGCAAGACCGAAAAAAAAAGAAGCATATCAAAATGTACGACGTTCTCGTGATCGGAGCTGGATTGAGTGGTCTCCAGGCAGCGCTCACGGCGCAGCAGGCAGGTCTGTCTGTTGTGGTGGTCGAGGCGCGGGACAGAGTGGGCGGCAAGACGTGGAGTGTGCCACTGGCGTCGGGACGAGGATGTGTGGAACTGGGAGCAGCATGGACCAACGACACGAACCAGCGGCGCATATGGGCGTACGTGCAAAAGTTTGGACTGAAAATGTTCCAGCAGCCCATTGGCGGGGACTGCGTCATGTATGAGAATAGCACGACAAAGCACAAGTTTCCATTCGGTACTACGCCGAAGGTACGTCTACGATCCGGGCAGAGAGAGAGAGAGGAGGTTATAATGATTTAATAAGGTAGCTGACTTGAATAGTTTTCTACGGAAGAAACAAAGGACCTTGAGCGTCTCCGGGACGCGATTGCCGCCAAGACCCTGACCGCGTCCGGCGATCCCGAGGACGATAAGATCACCTTGGAGGAATTCGGCAAGAAGCTCGGCGCGACCCAGAAGACTCTCGATATGATCAATCTCTGGGCACGAGTCATGCTTGGTGTTGAGCACTCTGAACTCTCGGCGGAATACTTTTTCGACTATTGCCGTCGTGGAGGCGGCTTCTACCAGATGCGGTCGGACGCCAAGGACGGTGCGCAGTATCTTCGGTTCCAGGACGGTTCGCAGTCTGTTTCCAAGGGCATCGCAAGCCTGATTGGGCACGCAAACATTCAGCTCTCGACGCCAGTGGCGTCTGTGGAGGACCGTGGCTCATATGTCATCACCACCTCGACAGATGGCAAGCGGTTCAGGTCGAAGAAGGTGGTCCTTTCGGTCCCCAGCACATTGTACAAGGACATTACCTTCTCCCCGGCCCTGCCTGGACCAAAGCGCAGAGTCACCGATACCACGATCCTGGGAGACTATAGCAAGACGATTGTCTGCTACGACAGGCCGTGGTGGCGAGACCTGGGCTTCAACGGAATGTGCTTGTCCTATGAGGGCCCCATTATTGTCGGTCGCGACACTAGTGTTGATGACAAGGGCCAGTATTCATTCACCTTCTTTTGCAATGGTGGCCCAAGCCGCGAGTGGACAAAGTTGCCACCTCACGAGCGCCGCGCCAAAGTCCTGCAACACTTGGCGGCAATGTTCGACAACCACCCGGAAGTCTACAAGCCGATTGAAGTATTCGAGCAGGAGTGGCAAAAGGAACAATACAGCAAGGGCGCGGTTTGCCCCGTCACTGAGGTCGGGCTGCTGTCTGAGCTCAATGCCGAGTACAGAGCACCTGCGGGCAACCTGCACTTTGTTGGTACTGAATATGCCGCTGAGTGGAAGGGATACATGGAAGGTGCCGTATGCTCGGGCGAAGATGGCGGAAAGGAAGTCGTTGAAGCTCTAAGAGCAGACAAGAAGCTGCAAGCGAGACTGTGATTTTAAGGGCTAAGCCTGCCAGGAATTTTCACAATCATCCTTTTTTTTATATATAAACGTTAGACGATGTTGTTTTCATTTTTATCGGTAATCGGGAAAGATTGTACATACCATTGAGTTTTGAATTGTTCTCAATAGATTTTGGAATCGTTATACATGCATCATAAAGAAGTTTCTCGTAGGATTCGATCCAAGCTACATGGCTGAATCACGGGTGGACTGCTTTGGCCTCTGATTTTTCCGTAATGAGGGTTGCTCTAGGTCGAGGTTTCCCTGAAGAGGGTTTCCCGCTTCTCGGTTCACGAGGCTTTCTCAATCGTTGCATTCCGGAGAGTATGGGGTATGGTTGGCAAAGCTTTACCACCGCATCCACAACCTTTACAGCCTGAGCATTGACGTCTTCTTGTTTTGCGGTGATCATTGGCTCAAGCAATTGAAATGTTAATGAACCCTTTAAGTTGCCGAGATTTTGTAAGGGAAATTGTTTGCTTGGACGACCCGGTATTTTCTTTCTGTTATCCTGGGATCTGGGTTGCTGCAGCTGTCTCCCATTGTAGTCGAATCCCCGCAGAGCCAGGGCTTCCTCCAATCCTCTCTTCATTTTGCGGTTGCAAAATGACCGAACCGTTCGATATTGAGATACTGCATTGGCAGTATATACCATTGTCCACAGAGTATTCTTGTCCCGAGCCTCGATGCGTCGCTTCGTCTTTAGATGCAAAACATGATATGGATCATCGAGGAACTTTTGTGTGGCATATGCAGGCCTTTGATCCGGTGAAAATGAAGGACGGAAGCAAGTCACTCCAGGAACCTTGACGAGGCGGTAACCCTTGGGACCTCTGGTATCGTTACGGATTGGGGAGACTTTGTTGCCAGATGAAGCTGCAATCTGCGGACTAGGAGTCGGAGTAGGAGCAGGAGGATGACCAGAAAGTGGAATGCGAGGGAGTCGCATGGTTGATGATTGCGTTTGCACTCAGGTAAGAATGTCTACGAAGTAAAGTATGAAACAATAGTACAGCAATACAGTACTACAGTACTACAGTACTACAGTAAATGACGATGGACCCAAAATCGGCTATACAGGGATCACTCCGAGGCTCCGAACGGATCGGCCAGTAGCCCCGGCAGCGAGAACTGTTATCCACCGATTGGTCAATGTCATTGCCAACGCAGATAAGCCACTTGATAAGCCCCCCCAAGTGACTCTGCCCGGCTCGTTGCTGGGAGGGGAGTCCCCCACCCTGGAGGAATTTCCCTCCTCCGACAACGACCTTCTCGAATGATTTCTGGGCTCATTCTGCTCTGATACGATATAACGGCAGAATGACGAAGCAGTCTGGGGTATGCTCGACCTGTCGATCGCGGAAGGTCAAGTGCGACAGAGTGTTGCCCAAATGCTCCCCTTGTCAACGGTTGAGGCTGGATTGTGTTCAACAACATCCTCGTTCAAGTTTTGTTTGGACCGCTCCAATACTGAGCACTGGTAAATCAGCCGAGAATAATATCAGCAGTGGAGAACATGAAATTGAGCATGGGGCTCGACGGCAGGCGCTCTTCTCAAGTACGTTGAACAGCTAAATGTTGAATACAGAGCATTTTTACATTGCTGACTGAGTGAAAAGCCAAAGATAGGATTGAGGAATGCCTGCGGATGACAGACGAATTGCCAGACTCTCAGATCGATCAGGCTCTTACCAAGTTGGACTGCCAGTCTCCCTCGATACAAGCCGAGGGAAATGCATTGCACATTGGGCCGTTTGGCATGTTTTCCCTACAGGATTCAGCCCCGCCGCGTTCTGAAATCATTTCTACCCTTGGGGACAGCCCTCCGGCAGCCAAGAGCACCCTAAAGAACTTGATAACGTCTCCCGTTGTATCAGAAAAAACCTCAACCGCAATTGAATCTATTGAGTGCGATGCAGAAGTCTCATCAGAACCAGCATTAGCTCAAGAAATCTCTGGGCTGTTTGACGACCCGATAATGGACTTTTTGAACATGCCATCTCCAAGCAAAGCCCTCGACGAGTTTCTGGCGCAGAATACGCTACCTTCTTGGGAATTCCCGTCCGTGGATCTGGATTCTTCCTCCTCGTCTTCTGGGAGCGTCTCTTCCCCGCCGGGTCTTCAAGGAGCTACCGACGTTGCCCAAGATCATATCCGCGCTGGAGACCATGGTACGACTACTACTACACTGGGATTTCTGGAGTGCTCAAGGCCCTTCAATCTGCTATCACCCCTAGACTCGCAGCTTCCGCCAATACAGATGGCGTCAGATATATGCGACCTGCCGACAACCACCATGAGATTTCTAATCGACCACTATCGGTCATCAATTGCGACGAGGCTAGCTCCACTGCAGCACCTTCAATCTCCATGGAAAGCGATTCATCTTCCATCTGCAATGCAGACCATTGGAGACATTGCCCTACGTGGAGATTCTGGTAATGCCGGGGTCGCTCTACTTTTTGCAATCTTAGCTACCTCTGCCTTCAATTTGGACTCTTTTGGTGCCTGCCCTGAGAGCACGCGCAAGGCTACCGCGTGGAAGAATATTGGTGAAATGTTTCGAAAGCGAGCGAAAAGTCGTTTGCAATCTGCACTGCGGGAACAAAGCAAGGGAAAATCGTCAAAGTACAAGGAGTTGCTGGCAGCTCTGCTGAGCATGGTCACCGTCTGCGTAAGTTGCTCAATTCATCACTTGACCTACCGCTATTACCAGACATGAGTTGTGCTAATGTTGGGAAACAGGTTGCCAGCGGGCAAATGGACCAAGCGCGCTGCTTCCTCCTTGATGCCGAACGATTGATCTGGCTACGTGGTTTGCGCAAGTCGCCCAAGTCTCGTAAAGTGCTCATGCTGCATAGCCTCTTTCTTTATCTCCGCGTCGTCGAAGAGGTGACTGCAACAGATCAGCTCTGTTCCTCAAACTTTTACGCCGATGACGCCAGACAAGCTTCTGCAGCAGGAGATTCTGGCAACAATTCTTCCCTCTCATGCTGCCGCTGGCCGACCTTATGGACTAGCCGGTCCCGGAAAGGCTTGGTTGTTGAGCATGAGGATGTGTGTTCACTCGAAGATCAGCTCGTAGCACTTCCGGCAGGTTCAAAAGAAATGTCCGCATTTGAGCGAATCTACTCAATTCCGGAATCGCTCTTCACTTTACTATCCCGAGCCACTCACCTTGCACATGCGCGTATCCGCTCATCGTCAAAGGCTCAGCGAGCCGAAGACGCGAGCAATAGCGGCGGCAATGGCAGCGGCAGGGTTGGTGGTAGTGGTGGTGGTGGTGGTGGTGGTCTCACCAACGCGTTCTTGGACCAGGCCAAGGCTACTGAAACGTCTATACTCAGCTGGAAGAATCCATACCGCGTCATGGCGGAGCTGCAATTATCTTTTGAGCGAAGCGAGGCAGCACGTTCTACCGCGACAGGTAGCGCTTCTACAAATACTTGTACTGATACTCCTAGCTCGTTTGCCTCTTCCCTCGACACGGACACAGATACCGACAATACGGCTGCCCCTTTGAACATGGAAACCCGGGCAGCTCTTCTATTCGATCTTATCGAAGCCATGCATTCGGCCCTCATCATTTATTTCTACCGCGAAGTCCGCGACATCAGCTCCATTGCCATTCAGCACTACGTTGAGAAGACAGTGCAACACCTGCTCAAACACGAGCAGCGCAAGCTCGAATATGCCGATCACGCCTCCGATATTTGCTGGCCCGCATTCATTGCAGGCTGCGAAGCCCACAGCATCGAAGCAAGAGACCAGATAGCCGCATGGCTGTTCCGAGCCGGCGAGCGCAGTGGCCTCCGCATGTTTTGTACGGCTCGAAACGCCCTGTTCAAGGTCTGGGACGCCCGTGCCAAATGTGCTGATCCGGACTTGCCCTGGCGGCGGGTCATTGTTGATGAAGGCGTCGGCTTGATCCTAGCCTGAGAACACGCAGGCCTCTATATGCACTATTCTCGCGCATGAGTCTTTCATGCCATCACGCCACGCGTTATCACGATGTCACGCTACCACGATCTCATGCTGTCCGACGAAAATCCTTTTTCAAACCGAGTATATTCGTCGCGTCAAATACCTCTTCAGGTACTTCTATAATCTGATCGGTACAGTCGGCCATCTAGAGCAACAAAGCAGACGACCATGGATTTTCCCCCCTCCAGTTCCCCGTCTCTCTTCTGCATCAGCCCTGCCACGGCCGACAGATTACTACCAAGCCGCACTGAACGTAGCAAACATCTATATAAGTTGTGCAAGACTGCACAATCTCGGGTCCGCGCTCGACTTGCCATCCCGCAGCGCTCTGGTGCAAAGCACAACCTGCTTTGTCTATCAGATCCACTGATCTGTCGTCTTTGCGCAAAGCTCAAACTTCGCAATTTCGAGATTTCGGGATTTCGGGATTTCGGGATTTCAAAGTTTGAAGTTCGAGAAGTCGAAGCTCAGAGCTCGAAGCCCAACGACCCTAGAGCGAGCAATACACACCTCATCTCCCACCCAATGCATGGCAGCATCGGTTACGGACTTGTTGGAAAATCAGCAGAGGGACCAGAGATGTATTTAGTATCTACTTTTCGAAGCTCGCGATGCTGCCTCGGCCTCGATTAAGCGTCGGCGTCAAATTGAAGGTTAAAACAATTCGCCGCCACCGGCAAGAAAGGACCAAAAACAAAAGAGGTGATTGGAGCAAGGAGCACGGAGCAAACGCAAGGTCTACTCCAAAGCACAGTCTGTTTGTAGACAGTATTCATTATTAGATATACGATATACAATGTACGATGTACAGCGCCTACCTTGTGCATTATAATTATACATTATACGTTATGCGCTGCACAGTCGATATCTTACAAGAATAGACTATAGATACCTACAATACACTATATATCGTCCGCTTTGCATGATATGCATACCCACACGCAATACCCACACCCAAACGCAGTGCGCAATACGCATTTACATGACACATGATGGAATTTGTTATAAATACTTGACCAATTTGACATTCTAGACTAGATACAATACCACAATCTTTCAATATTCTCACATTCACGTTTGCAATCAAACGACTAGTTATTATATTTTTCATTTTTTTTTTTACCGAATTGATGACTATGACCATGATTGAAAATAGAATTATCCCAGAAAGAAGAGAAAAATGGAAGAGACGACCCGGGAATTAAAAGAAGAGACAAATGCAATACCGGAGAGTAAAGGGAAAAGGGATGGGTAAACCGTAAACCCAAACGTAATGGCAAAAGGGGCACCCCCTCGGCCTCCCCATCCCTTCCCAAAAAAGAGACCTGAATGTCCCACGAAAAAAGAAAGACCAAAATATAAGACCAAAAAAGAAGAATGAAAGACCTAAAAAAAAGGAGATACATATATAAATAAAGGGGACCCAAACCAAAAAAAAAGGATGCAACCCATGCATTGAAAACGCTCAAATCATGCCGCCGGAGATCATTTTAGATGATAAAGATCATAATGGAGAATAATGACTTCAGATGGATATGAGACAGAGAGATAGGCGAGAAAGAGGCGAAAGGTGAGGGAGAGAGAGAGAGAGCGAGAGAGAGAGAGCGAGAGAGAGAGAGCGAGAGAGAGAGAG